TATCAATATTTTATATTTTTACTTTATATAATTACTGGAGAATTTTAATCAAAATAGACTATAGACTGTCGCAAAATCATTGGATTAATTAATCGGACTAACTGATCTCAGCTACACCCAAATGAGAAATACTAAATGGACATAAAATATATTTTTTTTCTTTTTTGTAAACACTTTTAAAATTTTGTGTAGATTATGGCAAAATATGATTACTTTTTTTTATCTTACGAGTATAAAGTCTTCGCCTAAAGTCCTTTCCCTTAGAAGTTAGAACGTACTTATATAAAAGCATGTCATAATAATTAAATTTCTTGTATATAAGATATGTTACAAAAATAAGATCTTCATTCTCGAAGAGTTTAGGTGTCGCTCTTTTATTCGTACCTAACAAGGAGTGACTTTTAGAGGGGGGTTTTGACTAAAAAGTGACTTATAGAGTTAGTAAGTAATGTAATATTCCCTTTGTTCGACCTAATATAGTATTTAGCGGAGCCTTATCTTTGTAAAAAATTTCTTATTTCCTTTTTGATCTTCTTTAATCTTTGGTTCGGTGTACTTAATCACACTTTCCGGAATATTTAAAGACTGCTTTTGATATGATACGTTTTAATTATATTTTAACTACAACGATTAATTAAAAAAAACTATTGATAAAGCTTAGTCCACAGGTACGTATAAAAAACAATATAAGCAAAATTGGAGGACCTGGTATATTGATATAAAGTTTAAAAGCTAATCCGCTTTTAACACACTGTTATTGTGTATCGTATACTTATTTAGACACAGAAAGGACAAAAATTCATATAATAAAATTGGCTAAATTTGAATTCTCTTTTCTTCTTCAATAACAACAAAACTATACAATGTATATTTTTATTTTTCGTTAGTTTTTCTATTTTCCATTTTTATGGGGTAGAGTGGGTTGGGATTAGGTCCTAATTGTAATCACTTGCATTGTTTTTTCAATGCCCCTACATCTTTAAACGTAGCTTTAAACAAGAGAAAATATCTAGACCTTTGTTTATTACTTTTAGGCTTTTAGCACATCAGAAGACATGTGTGTTGTTTCTATTTGAGTCACAGATACTTTTTTTGTGCTGTCAGATATTTTGGCTTGGTTATTATATTATATCTTCAAAAACTTTTAGTTCAACGGTTAAATTCTTAAAATCGCGTAGACATTGACAATTTTCGACTGTTGTCCTCACTCAGTTATGCTATTTTAAAATCAAGATAAACAACCAATTCGTATACGAAAACAATTCAACGTTTATTTATTCTTTCTTTTATATCAGAATTCCGAAACAGGCCGTATGATGATTTTTTTTTTTTTTTTAACGTTTGCAATTGTCAAATATAAGGTTGTATTTGAACTTTAATATGATATAGTCGGTGTTCTTTCACTAACGAAATTAACTAACTGCCTACACAAACACAGATGTATGATACAAGAAAACTGGCGAAACAATTGATCTAAGCATACAAAACCACGTATGTTAGTTGAACAAATTGGTGGGTAGAGGCGTAGAGCGTGTACCTATGTGACTATGTCAAACAAATCAAAATATCTTTTTTTGGATTCAGTCTATACTGGAAAATTAATTAATTACTACAACATAGTTATTTTGGTTCTTTTTATTAATAAAAAGAAACGAACATAACCTCCACATTGTTTCGTCTTTTTTCATAGAGAGAGAAGACAAAATAAGTTATGATTAAAGAAAGTGCGTAAAATAAGAGATAGAGACATTCACTACCTCACTTTCATTGATTCATGCACTCCTTTCATTTTAATAGCTCTCTTCCAATCAAATTTCTTTTTCTGTCCCACTCTCTCCATATCTCTTCTTCTTATTTTAACTATTTTTAAAAAATATTTTTATTCGACCGTCTTGTCCAATCAATGCATGTCGTTGAATATCTCTACTTACTTTAAGATTCCAAACTAAAGGAAAATAAAATAAAGGTATTCTTTTAAATTTAATAATCTATCTACTTAATAGTAATCCTGGATTGGCGGAGAATAAATATTTCTTTTACTTGTATTTTAGTTTTTTACAAGTAAATTAATCAGATCCTATACGCCTAAATAGTTAATACAATACAAGCCTACACTTGAAGCTTGCATATATTTGAGTCTCTCAAAAATAAGATATATAGCTTAACAAATAGACTTTTTTGGGTAAATATGGACAGTATTAAGTTTATATCCTGATTTAGACAAGTAACATCACTTTAGCACGGAAAAACCGAAAGTGAACAAAAGAATAAAAAGGCATTTTATGTATACTTTGTTTGATAATGCAAAATACCATTTTTTTTTTTAAATATCAAACAGTAAATAAGAAGGAGAAAAAGAAAAAAGAAAAAACAGAGCAAAAAGGCAGGCCTCCAACGGCTGAAAACTGCCGCCAAATGTACGATGCCGTTAATTAAAAGACACGTCATCGTTCAGAGCTTCCGACATAATAAGACACGTTGGAGAAAACGTGTCCGTCTCACCAAGAAAATGACCAACACGTGGCAAGGCGTGATTTTGTTTTGACGCGTTTCATAACGGTCAATCAAAAGCGCTTTAACCGACCGCACTCAATGAGTTGAAACTTCTGATTGCTTTAATTATTTGCTTAACGGAATCCTATAATTTGACCTCTCGATCTACACTATCCCATGTTATTATGTTGTAGTACTAATTAATTAACAAAAATAACAATTGTTATATTTATAACGTTTAACATTATGTTGTACAATATGTTTAATAAAAAAATATGCATATGTAATTTTTTTTTGTCTTAGTGTTAAGTAAGTTTCAGTCTGTATAGTAACACAACGACGATACATACTCATACTCAAAGTTTGATATTTTGATCACAGAGAAGAGTATTATTATAGAACTATACCTGGTTTTTGTATTAATTTCGTTAGGAGAACAAAAAAATCCGTTAGGAGTTTCAAGATTGGTCGAAGAGACGCGTATTTTCAAAAGTAATACTATGATATTTTTTTTTTCATGAAATTCGCAAAAAGCAAACACATGTTATTATTAATCAATGAAACAGATAGGTCACGTACTCACGTTAAGATATTCTGTCTACCTTTTATATGTGCAAAGATATTCTGTCTAATTTCCCGTCAATATTTAGTCTGTTTCACCTACCATTTGTGGTCAATTATTCTTTAACTACAAAAGGATGTTTTCGTAGAATATATACACACTGAAGGAAGTTTCTGAAATTTGATTTTAAGAGGAGGAACAAAAAAAGAAGAACTCAATTCCAATTTTGTTAGCTCCAAGCCTCGAAAAACGTTTGGTACGTTGGTTGATTGACATCTTCTAGAATTTACAGATAGTTCCAGAATCTATTTTTGGTTTTATTTGTTCAAGGAACGGTGGAGTATGAACTTATGATTGTATACGTACGTAGAACACTAGTACACGTAAATGGAACATGGAACCGATGTATCAGTAATAACATTAAAATTATTTTAAAAGCTCAATAAGTATTTTTGGTTCGGAAGTAAACATATTAATCTATTTTTGTTGGAATTCTCATACTAATTATGGCCCCCGCCAAAAATCAAAATATTTATACGTTTTTATTTGTAGTTAGTGAACACAGCACGAGATCGTTGTGGTGGTAACAACAAAATATATGAAAATGGACCCAAAAGTTAAATCCACACATAATAAATAATATTAAATTGGACTACAGTATGGAATTTCTTTCCGGGAGATACCAATGGGCTTAAATGGGCCAGGAATGGTGGAACCTCCTGGGCATACCTCTAAAGGAATTCAGACTTTTAAACCCATTTTTATACACTAAAGAAACCTTGGATCGTACGTAAAAAAGAGTTTTACCCGAATTAATTAACTATAATACTTTGTCGAGGAGAGATTGAATATGTATTTTATTACATACATGTTTAACAAATGTAAAAATTTTATGATCAAAAGGAACTCGTGTCACCAAGTCAAGTCAACTTTGCTCGTGTCTTTGTATGTACATTAAGTGCAAAAAGATAAATCAGAACAAAACATAAACCATATGTGTCATGTTACAGATGTTGTTCATTTTTGGGTAAACGAACCGTATGTGTCATGTTACAGATGTTGTTCATTTTTGGGTAAGTATACAAATGTTTGGAACTCGTTTTTTACTAACCATATTTTGATCATTTTTTGGGTAAGTTTAAAATGATCAAATTTTAGACCGCTGCACCAATGTGTTCAAGTGTTGCGATACGATATATCCATTTAAAGATATATATTACCCTTTTTCATGCAGTTTTTCTTACATCCCAATCACATAATGTAGGGATCTTGAAAACCACGCAATGGTAATAAAGTTACGTGTTAGAAGTAAACATTATTAAAAGTAAAAACACGTAAAAACATCATTAAAAGTAAAAACAACATAAACATTTATGAATTCACGACGAAGACGGTGGATTCTGTTGTTGACTAGTCATATATATATATTTTCTTTTTTCAACAATCAAGAATATATAATCGCCGAGATTTCAGAATAAAATATTTTAATAAATACTGGACAAGAACGAGAAAAACGAAATTTATACAAAAAAAGAAAATAAAAGAAATAGATAAAATCCTAACAAACCCAAAGATTCATGCAGCAGTAGGAGCAGGCAACGGACTTATTGGTTAGGTTATTTAACGAGTCTACGAACCAAAGTTGTTTGAAAAAAAAAAAAAAGTAAAACAAAAACATGGAACTGTAAAAGAAAAGGGAAGAAGAATATAATCGGGAAAATGGAATAAAAATAAAAGTGTGGTCGATTTCCTCACTTTATATTATTCGAATACGACGAATACGACCACATATCAATTTTACTTATACTCGAATTACATCGATACTAAACCAATACAAACTATGAGGCATTTTGAAAAATAAAAAGAAGATAGAGGGGCCACAAAGGATAATTAAAATCTAATATGTCCCTCACAGCAAAAAACAATAACATTTGTTCACTCTTATGAAAGAGTTAGCGTCATTGCAAGTAGAAAAGGCCAAAATAGAGAGCGGCCAAAACGGAAGCAGAAAAAACTCATCATTCCTTTCTTTTACTTCATCTCCTCCCTTCTTCGCTCATCGCCATAACCACACCACAGAGAAAGCTTCCTGTAATCGCAAACTCTAAAGTTTCCCCTTTGATGGGCTGATTATTACATTTGGACTCAACACCTGTTTATACAAATATCTACGAGATCAAGCTTTGCTTGCCTCTAATTTGGTGGAATTTCTTACAAAGGGTTTCAATTAAGAGTGTCACATTTTCGGATTTATCTCATCATCTTTCGTCAAAGTTTCGATATTTACGAATTTTTTTTTTTACTGAGAACTGCCGTTCTGTTTATTGGGAATCTGATCCAATGGCTGCGATAACTGAGATGCCCACTGATGTTGTCAACGATGTTCATGAAATTAGTGTCAATAGCGATGGCGAAAAGATCGTTGGCGACGGAATTGAGAAGAGCTCGATCACGGGTTCTAAAACTGAATCCGAGCTCGAACCCGAATCCCAGATAGATATGCAGAAGCTTGTGGCGATGTTCAAGAAACTGAACCCTTTGGCTAAGGAGTTTTTCCCTTCTTACTACAACCCGAAGAAGAACAATCAGATTGGTAAAGGCAGTCAATTTCTGTCCGCTGACGACTTTCCGGCCACGAAGAAGCATTCCGGTGAAGAACTTGATCCTGATGGCAAGAAGGATGACAATACCCGGAAGGTATATAATCGTGGATTTTATCTTATTTATGATCATATATATTTTGGATGATATAGCTGATGATGATTTCAATGTTTGTACTGTTGTAAAAAGCTGTAAACTTTGATTGAAGGGGTTTGTTTGATTGTGTTAAATTTTGATCTGTTTTTGATAACAGAGAAGAAACAATTATAGCCAAGGGAGGAGGAGGTTAACCGGAAGAATTTCTAAGGCTCAGAGAGAGGATAGTATTAGAAGAACAGTATATGTTTCTGACATTGACCAGAATGTAAGTTTGTTTCATGTCGTTTTAGGTTCTCAAAAAGAAATTAAAGTTAAATTTGCGTCGATGTTAATATAAATCTGCCTTGTGATTTAGGTGACTGAGGAAGGTCTTGCTGACTTGTTTAGTAACTGTGGACAAGTAAGATGATCCTTAACCTTTTAAATTGCTTGTTATGTCTTTCCCATGCATGGGTTTTGGACAATGTGATTAATTTAGACAAGTTTTTCAAGTCTGTTGGAAAAGTTGATTATGTGTTTATGTGCTAATTATAACTGCAGAGAATTGTTTTTATTTTTTATTTTATCTAAATGTTTAGATAATGTTTTGTGAAGTAACAGTGAGTTTTTCTTTTGTGAAGGTTGTTGATTGTCGAATCTGTGGGGATCCACATTCAGTTCTTCGATTTGCTTTTGTTGAGTTTGCTGATGACCGTAGGTTTTGGCTGATGGAATCTTGAAATGATTTTACAAAAAAAGTTTCAAGGTCACTCTTTTGACCACATAGTAAATTTGCTTCTACAGAGGGTGCACGGGAAGCTTTAAGCCTTGGTGGAACAATGCTAGGGTTCTACCCGGTGAGGGTCTTACCCTCCAAAACTGCTATTCTTCCAGTGAATCCCACGTTTCTTCCCAGGGTAAGAGAGCGAATGTTCCATTAACCAGTTTGGTTTTAAGTATTGAGTTTTGAATGAAGGTTGATATCTATCTACTATGTTGGTGTTGATTCAGTCAGAAGATGAAAGGGAGATGTGTACCAGGACAATCTATTGCACAAATATCGACAAGAAGGTAAGTGCTTGAACAATCTACAAAACGTATTTTATTGTGTTCTTTTTTTGTTGTCTGTAGTGTTACCTGGTTTTGAGATTCTTTTGTGTAACAACTGCAGGTTTCTCAAGCTGATGTGAGAAACTTCTTTGAGTCGGCATGTGGTGAGGTCAGAACAGAGCCTAGACCTGCTTGGTCTTCTGTCTCTCTCTTTCGAAGTTGTATAATTAAATTACCTCAGTTTTTTATTTTTAAATTTGTTTTCTAATATGCAAGGTCACTCGCCTGAGGCTTCTTGGCGATCAACTGCATTCAACTCGCATAGCTTTTGTTGAATTTGCTCTGGTGAGCTCTTCATCTATTTACTAAAGAATAATTGTTCTCCATGGATTTGGCTTAATACATTGCAAGTCTATTCCCTATTTTCCCTTTTTTTGGCTCTATTTGACGACTAGAAGTTTCTTGAGTTGTAATGTTTGATTACGGAAAACTGAAATATAATTTGACAGATTTGCTTCACATTGCCTTCACCTGCAAACTCAGAAACTTAACTTTGTTTTTCTTTTTGAACGAACAGGCAGATAGTGCGCTTAGGGCGCTCAATTGCAGCGGGATGGTCGTTGGATCCCAGCCAATAAGGTAAAATTTCATCGCTTCAGTGTCTGAAAAGGTTTCTTCTTTATTTCTGAATATCTCAATTGGATCAATATTTGGCACTAATTCTTTCCTCTTTTCAGGGTAAGTCCATCAAAGACACCAGTAAGGCCACGAATGACTCGACCACCGTCCACAAACTAGAACGAGACATCCAGAAGAAAGATGATTGCAAACATTTCCTTCAGTAACTTTTTGTTTTTCTTTCCGTTTTCCGGTTTATCTTTTACGTTTTAGAACAGTTATCTCCAGTTATGTTTTGTAGCTGGAAACACTAAGATCCTGCTTCTGAATCTGGAGTTCTTGTTAGGCTTTGTCTTTTCGACTGAGATACAGTACTTCCATCTGTTTCATCATCTTTCTCTAAAGGATTTTTTAGAGCATTTGCTTTTGAAAGTTCTTGGCTTTTCACAAGAGATCTTTTTATTGTTTGCTCTCAGTGCTGAAAAGGTCATTTTTTTTTTTTAGATAGAATAGAAGAAAAAAACTGAAACAATGTTGGAGGTCTCAGGAGAAAAGCTTTAATTCCCTATATATTAAAAGAGAATCATTTTTAAAGAATAACTTTAATTTTGTAAAATATTACAGTGGTGCTATTTTGCTGATGTGTTATCACTAGAATCATTTTCAGCAAAGTTATAAAAATAGATTTATGTTACTAGATTAATTATATGTTATGCCACTCATATTAATTTTGTTATACATTAGTTTATATCAATTATATTGATGATGATTCATCAAAATATTCTTTTTTTCTATTTCTTACCAAAAATATATCATATTAATTATTTCTTTAAATACTATATATTATTTCTTATCTTTATAGAAAAATAAATCATCACATCACTCATACTCATATAGTAATATATATATATACATATATATATATATATTTCTGTGTTATAATTCGAATTTCATAAAACAAATATAAATTACTCAAATGATTAATAAATAAAAATATGTTTTAAAAGACTAAAATTGAAAATAAGGATGTGTAGATAGATGATTCATAAATTAATATAAAAATACATAAATGATAAAAAAACAGGAAGATTAATTTAATAGATATTTTTAATTTATACAACAAAATTACTTGGTGAAAAATTAAAATAATTTTATAAGGATATTATATAATAATTTATTAAACTTTTTGATATTAAAAATATTTTTATTGAATCAAAAAGTTAAGAATGTATAAGTATTAACTCAGTTATATACAATTTTAGATAATTTATTAAAAATAATAAAAAAATATAATCTATTTTTATATAATTCTTACATATATTTAATATTTAAAATAAATTTTATATTAATTTTCTTTTCTTAAAAGTTAATATTCTTATGACTATAGTTTTTGCGAGTTAATCTAAATATGCATTTATATTCGTATAAGAAATATTAAAATCGATTATAAAATCTTATAACTAAATTTTATTTTTTAATATTTTAATACTCTCTATTTCAAAATATAAGTTGTTTTGCATCAAAGCACAAAGATTAAAAAGCAACTTTTCTTTTAAAAAAATAATATATAAATTAAATATAATTCAACAAATTATAAAAAACTAAAAAATATAATTGGGCACATAGTAGTCATAGGAAGTAGTAAGAAATATGAAAACGACTATATTGTGAAACAAAACAAAACTTTAAAAAAACTAATATTATGAAACAAAGAAAATAGTAAATTTTTATTATTATTATCATAACGTATTGGATACTTAATAATTTAATCAAACTATACCTCCTCTACTTTTTTTTTAATTCGAAGATCATATTATTAATCATGGGTTATAGAAAATATAAAGAGAGACTTCGTATTTCTATTGAGATTGCACATATATATTTAATTTTTAAACTAATTTATATTAAAATTAAATTATCCTAAAGTTCATAAAATAAACAAAAAAAAATTATTTTGTCAATATTACATCATAATATTACAAACAACTCATATACAATCAATTGTATTTTGTTATATGATTTTAAAATTATACTATATTAAATTAATAATTATTATTTTAACCCCGCACGGGTGCAGATTATTACCTAATGGTATAGTTAAAAAGTATGAATTGCAGTATCGTGTGCATCAAGTAAGGTCTCTAAAGTGTATACATGTTAGAACTTATAATCTTTTCCTCAAGAGAAGATCTCGCCGTCGATTTCCACATGTGGAATGTTCAATACCTTGAAGAGCTCTGTTTCTGCTTCCGTCAACAATGGACATGAGCTTATTCGGAGGCAGGACAAGGAAGGAGGAAGAAGATCTTCATCTATGGATATCCGTAGCTTATCACAGCCGTTGATCTCCAGCGTCTCTATAGCCTTTGTATCGTGAAACCCTTTATGATTCAGAGTCTCGAGATTCTCGAAACGGCTTATCCTCAGAGTAAAAAGACCTTTTGGCAGTAACCCTTCATCTGGAAACGATTCAACGTCTTCGTTCCCTCCTTCGATCTCCAGATTTCGAAGATTCTCCAGATCTCTCAACCCCCACTCGATCCTCGGCGTGAGCTTGTCGCATAGGTTGATGCACAGTGTTCGGAGATTACTCGGGAATCCCCCACCAGGGATCGTTTCGATTAGTGGGCATTTGATTATGAACAGCGACAACAGAGAAGTGAGCCCGAACAATTTCTCCGGCAATGCTCGGAGATTCTTGCAGTTTGAGAGTAACATCGAAGAGAGCTTCGGCGTTGGGAGTCCTCCTTGCGGGAGGATTTTCAGATTTGGGCAATCCCTAATTTCCAGCGACTCGAGTGCGATTCGATCGTCTCCGAGTCCGGCGTGAATCGAGAAAGTCGTGAAGCTTTCGCAATCCCTAATTGAGAGGCTTTTGAGTTTGGGAAACAGCGATAGAGGGAAGCAGAGGAGATTGCTGCAGCTACTTCCGATGAAGAGGTATTCAAGCTGCGAGTAGCTCCGCGTTGGCTGCAAGCTCTCTGCGAAATCTAGACTCTTGCAGTCTCTTACGTATAGGGTTTTCAATGTGGTTGGAGGGTGGCTCCCAGGGAAAGATTCCAGAGATGGACAAGAAACGATGATGAGTTCGTGGAGATTCGGGTAGCTCTCGGATAGGCTCTCCGGGAGAGAAGTTAGCCCGTCGCAGCTGTCGATGTGGAGTGACTGCAGATTCTGGGGAAGCTCCATGAGGTGAGAGATCTCTGTCACTTTCAGAAATTCCATGTCTGTTTCATCATCATTTTCTGAGGGCCTTCTTTCACTTGACGATGGACTCTGATCAGACGGCTTTACGGATTGCAGGTAACGGTAGCTTCTACTACGTCCAGGAAAATCAGAAGCTTCATTCTTGGGATCTGGAAGATTTGATGATCTTGACATATATGGACTTAACGTCGTTAACGAGCTATGTCTATCCGACATATATCCTGAGTATCTTGCCGAGATCACAGCAGGTTCTTCGATATTCTGATGTGAGCTTTCAAGCTGAGTTTCGTATTGCTCCAGACTCTCTGTTTGTGACAGTGGGCGGTCCTTTGGCAAAGATGACAGGCTTAACATCGAAGTTGCATCAGTGTCATCATTGCTTTGACTACTTGAAGCTAAACCTGGTTGAGCACTCGTACTCGCACCCAAATGTGGATTCTCTGTTGGGGAAGACACTTCACTTCTGCTCATAGAGGGAGTGCTGGCTGGAATATCTTCTTCTCCTGAAACTAGTCTTAGTGGGCAATCAGAGATGGTGACTTCAGTGGAAGAAGAGAATCCTTCTGGAAACTTTTTTGTTAAGAGGGGGCATCTTTGTATTATGAGTTTTTGGAGGCAAGGAAAGATCCCACCTTCTTGTTCCGGACAAATCCACTCTTCCCATCTCAGCATGGCATAGAACTTGAGAGTTTGCAAGGATTGAAACGGGACAAAGCTGGAGTTGTTCTCACCGAAGAAGAAGTCTAAACCAACCTTCTGCAGAATGTTAAATTTTTCAATGCTTAGGTACTTGAGTGAAGGCAACTGCCCCAGGGGAGGCAGTGTTATGCAGAGGTTGCAGCTGCTGAGAGTGACAGATGCAATACCGGAGAATGAAAAATCACCCAACCACTTAGGAAATCCTGCACCCTGATAGGACTCAATGCAGAACGTTTTCAAGTGTGGATGAGGTTCAAGCATCTTCAGGACCTCTTTCTGGTCGCAGGTCAATGCATTAAAACTACCAGGGACAAAGCTAGAAGCTCTCACAGTCCACTTCAGGATTAACCCATCAAGAAATAGTTTCCTTTTCATGCCAGCGTCTTTTGCTTCTGAGGCGAAGGCCACGTTTTGTAGCTCAGAGATGCGAAGTGTCCCTCGGAGATTGGAAAGTTCTTTGAGCTCATGCAGTCCGGCACCGCTCAGTCTTCCTACAACAAAATTAGATAACTTCTGCAAGCTTCTCAGCTTTCTTATTCCTGGCGGCATCTCTACCAAGGGAGTGCCAACAAGGTCGAGGAGGCGTAAGTTGATGAGTTCGGCTATGCTTGTTGGCAGGCTTGTGAGGTCACTGCAATTTGACAATAACAGTGTCTGCAAATTAAAGAGGTTACACACAAACTCTGGGAGCTCTTTTATCTTGGTGCTTGACAGATCGAGATACCGTAACTGCTTCAAACCCTTCAATGATTTAGGCAAGTTGGTTATCTGGTAATGAGACAAGCTAAGAATTCGCAAGCGGCTCATTGCCTGAAGCAAAGGACTTAAAACTTTCTCTGTTAGTTGGAGAGATTCAAGACCCGTTGGAACGTTGAACGGAAGGATGGTTCTTAGAAACTCAGCTCCAGAGATGGACTTGAAAGCCACTGAAGCATCACACTGGCTTCTAGAAAATGAAAAATGCCGAGCCATACTTGGTATCTCCGGAATTTTGTCATCGTCCAGTCTGAAGCAAAAATCTCCTGAAACAGCTTTAGCCAAATCATTCATGAGATCGTGCATCACAAAGCTTGTCATAGTGATGTCCACTCTCTGGAAAAAAGATCGAGCAACTAAATCGTCAAGGTAATCGTAACCAATCTCCTCCAATCTTTTGTTGCTCCTTGGTTGGTATAAGAGGTCTATTGCCATCCATAGAAGCACTAATTCTTCCCTATCGAAGACATAACCCTTGGGGAATATTGAGCAGAGGGCAAAGCATCGCTTAAGTTGAGGAGGAAGAGAGTCATAGCTCAGTTTAAGAACTGGAAGGATACTGTTGGTGTAGGTCGAGAAGTTCTTTGATAGAGCATACCAGTCGTCAGGATTTGGCTTTGGTCGGAGATGAGTTGCGATGGCTCTCGCAGTTAATGGCAAGCCCTTACACTGTTCTGCTATCCTTTTGCCAACTCCTTCTAGCTCAGAGCCCACTGATATATTTCCAAAAGCAGTTCTAGAGATCAGCTCCCAGCATTCCTCATTAGTCATCAGTTTCACTGGGTAGACTTTTTCAGCCTGTGCAACTGTGGAGACAATTGCACTTCGAGTGGTTATAACGATCTTGCTTCCTTCCTTCGAATCAGTAAAGGCAACCTGGAAAGTTTCCCATTCTGTACTACTTTCAGACCAAAAATCATCCAGAACGAGTAAAAATCTCTTCCCTGATAGTGTTTTCTTCAGCTGAACTTGAAGTGAAGGTAGATCCTCAGTATTAACCGCACTTGAAGTGATCTCCTGCAGGACGGCTTTTGTAACCGTGAAGACATTAAAGTGTAACCCAGCAGAGATCCATATTTTAAGATCAAAATGTTCGGTCACACTGTTATCGTTAAAAACTATCTCTGTCAAGGTAGTCTTTCCAACCCCTGGCATGCCCACTATGGAGATCACAGCTGGTTTCGTAGTTCCTATTTCATCGTCAGAAAGCAGCAGATTAACTAACGCTAGCTTATCTTCTACTCGCCCAACCACTCTGCCTTGTGGAAGATCATCAGGTCTTGTCCGTGATGCTTGCCTCCATTGTGGTTCTCGAAGCTCACTATATTCTTTCAGTCCAAGAATTTCTATGTGTTTCACATGGTGTTCCAGTAGTCTAACTACTTTTTCCATCTTTGGTTCTATCTTTTTCTGGATGGCTTCACGACCAGCCATAAGATTCTGGAATAGTCCTCCGAATCCTCCTGCTTCAGCTACTACTCTTCTTTTCAAAGCTTCTGTCAGTAACTCGTCAAGAATATCTTCTGCTTGGAAGAAAGCATCTGTGAGTCCTGTAAGCCAATGTTTTACCTCCCGGACATGTTCTGCTCTCTGTTCAGCATCCGCAAGCACCAGGTTTGCAGTCACCAAAGCAGCCTTCAATCTCTTCAGCAATGCACTAGAAGACTTTCCTTTACATACTTCGACCAATTCTTGAGAAGTATTAATCCGCCCCACCATAACGCTAGCACAATTTGATAAATAGGAGTTCGTCATGGTTGACAGCGTAACTTGTTGGATCCAAGGAGATGCAACAAGTTACCAAATAAGCAAGCGGAAAAGGTTTGTTGACTTGCTCTTCTTTTATGCAATTCTTCAGCTGGCCTGCAGCAAGTGACAATAATGTCAAGATTTTGGAGATTTTCTTCTTCCATTTGATCACGAGATTCATCAGTTTGCAGACATTGTGCCTTAAAGCTGTGAATCTACATCTCCATTTTCTAAATGGTTATTACAACTTATTTGCAGTGGTTATGGAGCATTCAACGAGTCACATTCAAGAAAAAAGAAGACAAATTAAGGAAGAAGTAGGGTGAATCTGACCTGCAGTATGAAGTTCTATCTCTCTCTTGTGTTGTCTTCTTCCTCTTCCCTATTTCCAAATATTTGTTTGAAGTAGAATTTTTTAAAGCTTCTTCGTATTCTTCTTCTTCCGTTTTCTCTTATGTTTTGCCTTGTGTCTGGATTTTAGGATCTACGTGCAGCATTTAGGTCAGACGAGGAAGCCAAAAAGGGTTTGTCTGCATAATATTCAATGTTCTATGTTCCTAAGAAGGTTCAGGGGAAGAAAAGATCCTGCCAATGTCTCGGTCCAATCAATAAATACCATATGACGTAAGTTTTCTTGTATATTACACCATCTCTTTTTCTATCGTCTCTAATTGATGTGAATTATCTGTAAAGGATTTGACAGATGGTACTGTAAATTCGAAATAAAATTCTTTTTCTCATAAGGTTTGTTGGGTCATGATGTTTAGCATAAGTTATAAGTTTAGTCCTTTAAATCTACATGTCTAATCTGGGTTGTGCTTTCAGAAAGACATTGTAGACACGCCTTAACTCTATAGAAGACAAAAAACATTTAAATGTCTAATCAAACATTTACGAAGACTCCAACGTTGTACATCCGTTGATTTAACTCCATGGTTTTGGATTTGTGTGTGTTACCTTGTAAGATTGACTTTGTCTCAGTTTGTAGACCAAGAGAATTTTAAGACTTTTCGTGCCAGCTCATGAGGGAATCATTATAGAATTTAATATTTTGTTCGTTTGTAGAAGATGCACTTTGTAAATTTGAAGGTCACCTTTTTACCTATTATTAAATTGATATATGTAGCTTATCAGAAAATTTGAGAGTATTTTCTCAAGTCAATTCGACGAACTCCTCTGCTATTTTAATCTAAGTAATTTGACTAATTCATGAATTCTTTTCAGGCTATCTTCAAGTTTCTGAAAATGCAGGCAACTTCCAGTCATTTTCGTGGTAGTTTCACTTGGTGATTGTAGAATTTACTTCGGTGGCATGATTCATGCTGTGTTTGATCAAGTCAACTTTAACAACTTCGCGGGGAAATACAGCTTAGTTAAGGTTAATTTCGCTGATTTTTCCTACCAAACTGTTATGACCACTTGCCTTGTAATTTCCTACCAATTGGAATCTTTGATTTTGAGAGTGTATTGCTCCGATTTTTTTGAGAAGGATAAAACTGAAGAACTAAATAGCCTACTATGAATTTATTCCCCCCTGAGAAATAAATCTCCAACTTCTTTGATTTCGTCTCTTGTTTGTCTAGTTTTTGCAGAGGGCTTTGCGTGTGCGAAGACAGAGGAGATGATCGGAGGAGAGATGGTTCTCTCAGCCTTTTTACAAGCTCTATTCCAGACGCTGATGTCTGGTTCTTTCAAGACTTTCTTCAAGAGGCGAGAACTGAACGAGAATGTACTAGAGAGGCTCAACACTGCGTTGTTGACAATAAGTGCGGTGCTGATTGATGCGGAGGAGAAGCAGATTACAAACCCAGTGGTGGAAAAATGGGTCAACGAGCTGAAAGATGTTGTATACCATGCTGAGGATGCTCTTGATGATATTGCTACAGAAGCTCTTCGTCTCAACATAGGAGCTGAATCTTCTTCTTTCAACAGGCTGAGACAACTTCGTGGCAGAATGTCCCTCGGAGATTTTCTTGACGGGAACAGTGACCATTTGGAGACCAGGCTTGAGAAGGTCACAATGAGGCTCGAGCGTTTAGCCTCACAAAGAAATATCTTGGGTTTGAAAGAGATATCTGCAATGCTACCCAAACAAAGGTTGCCAACGACATCTCTTGTGGATGAATCTGAAGTGTTTGGTAGAGATGATGATAAAGATGAGATCATGAGATTCTTGATTCCTGATAACGGAGATGATAGCGGGATAACCGTTGTAGCTATTGTTGGAATCGGAGGAATTGGAAAAACTACACTTTCCCAGCTCCTATACAATGATCAGCGTGTTCAAAGTCATTTTGGGACTAGAGTCTGGGCTCATGTCTCAGAGGAGTTTGACGTTTTTAAGATCACCAAAAAGGTCTATGAATCCGTTACTTCCCGACCTTGCGACTTCACTGACCTGGATGTACTTCAAGTCAAATTGAAGGAGAGGTTAATAGGCTTACCGTTTCTGCTTGTTCTAGATGATCTGTGGAATGAAATTTCTTCGGATTGGGATCTTCTACGGCAACCCTTCATATCTGCTGCTCCAGGGAGCCGAATTCTTGTGACCACACGGAGCCAACGTGTTGCATCCATCATGCGTTCAGTCCATGTACACAACCTTCAGCCATTATCTGATGGAGATTGCTGGTCGTTGTTTATGAAAAATGTATTTCCTAATCAAGATCCGTGCCTAGATCAAGAAATTGGTGATCTTGCGGAAAGGATAGTGCACAAGTGCCACGGCCTGCCTTTGGCTGTGAAAACACTTGGTGGTGTTTTACGGTTTGAACGTAAAGTCGTAGTAGAATGGGAGAGAGTTCTAAGCAGCAGAATTTGGGATCTTCCAGCTGATAAGAGTAATCTACTTCCAGTTTTAAGGGTAAGCTACTATTATCTCCCAGCTCACTTGAAACGATGTTTTGCCTACTGCTCGATATTTCCCAAAGGGCATGCGTTTGAGAAGGAAAAGGTAGTTCTTATGTGGATGGCTGAAGGTTTCTTACAGCAGACGAGAAGCAGTAAGAATCTAGAAGAGCTTGGGGATGAGTACTTTTCAGAACTAGAATCAAGGTCGCTTTTTCAAAAGACCAAGACGAGATATTCGATGCATGATTTTGTCAATGAGCTTTCTCAGTTTGCTTCAGGAGAGTTCAGCTCCAAGTTTGAAGATGGCTGCAAACATGAGATTTCTGGAAAGACCAGATATCTATCCTACCTGCGAGATAACTATGGTGAGCCTATGAGGTTTGAAGCTCTTCGCGAGGCCAAGTTTCTCAGAACGTTTCTACCGCTCAGTCTCACAAATTCTTCACGGTCATGCTGCTTAGATACAATGGTCAGCGACAAGTTACTTCCAACACTTACCCGCTTGCGTGTTTTGTCTTTGTCACATTACAAGATCGCAAAGCTGCCGCCAGATTTTTTCAGGAACTTGAGCCACACCCGGTTTTTGGATCTCTCTCGCACTGAACTCGAGAAACTTCCAAAATCTCTTTGTTATATGTATAACCTCCAAACACTTCTTTTGGCCTACTGTTCCAGTCTGAAGGAGCTGCCTACAGACATCTGCAACCTCATCAATCTACGGTATCTTGATCTTATTGGGACGAAGCTGAAACAAATGCCACGAAGATTTGGTAGATTGAAGAGCCTCCAGACTCTTACAACTTTTTTCGTGACTGCTAGTGATGGGGCAAGGATTTGTGAACTTGGAGAACTCAACGAACTTCATGGCAAACTTAGATTACTCGAGCTACAACGAGTTGTGGATGTTGCTGATGCTGCAGGAGCAAATTTAAAGAGCAAGAAACATCTGAAGGAGATAGATTTTGTCTGGAGAACTGGATACAGTAGCTCAGAGGGCAACACAAATCCTCACAGGACGCAAAATGAAGCTGAAGTCTTTGAGAAGTTACAGCCACATCGTCATATCGAGAAACTCACCATTGAGAGATACAACGGAGGAAGGTTTCCAGATTGGCTGAGTGATTCTTCGTTCTCTAGAGTTGTGTGCATACGCCTCAGCGAATGTCAAAACTGTTCCTCCTTGCCATCTCTTGGTCAACTACCAGGTCTCAAAGAGCTTCACATTTCAGGAATGGTTGGACTGATAAGCATTGATTCAGGTTTCTACTTCAGGAAATTCTCGCCGCGTGATAGAGAACAACAGCCGTTTAAGTCGCTTGAAACGCTGCGATTTGATAACCTGCCAAATTGGGAAGAGTGGTCAGACATAAGGTTCACAAGAGGAAACTTATTTCCTTCTCTCAAGAAACTTTCAATACTGAAATGTCCAGAGCTTACCGGAAATCTACCAACCTTTCCTTCTCTGATATCTCTTCACATCCATAAGTGCAGGCTCTTCGATTTCCAGCCAGACCACCATGAGTACAGAGAGCTTCAAAGGCTAAGCATAAAAAACAGCTGTGACTCTCTCGTTACATTTCCTTTAGGCCATTTAGCCAACCTCAAAGAGCTTGAAATCGATCGCTGCACATCTCTGTACTCTCTTCAGCTCTCAAACGAGCAATTGTTTGGTCCCAATGCTCTAAGAAACCTGAGAATCAACGACTGTCAGAATCTACAGCTTCTTCCAGAGCTAAGCTCCCTGTCTCAGGTCACGATCTCGAACTGCAGGAATCTCAGACAGCCAATGGAGAAACAGCCACAGTATCATCATCATCAGTTTCATCTTCCAAGAATAAGCGTTTCAAGTTCACCAATGTCACATGGTTCACACAGGTCATATGATTCTCGTTCATCCTCAAGACATGAATAAAAACCTGATTCGCTCGCATCAATCAAAGACCTTTTTCTTTGTCTCATTTGTAAGTGGCTTTTTTCTCTTTTCTTTAGTTGTGTCTGTATATTCGAAGTGGATTTCCCTGTTCTCCGTTATGTATCAAAAAGACAAAGACAAATCCCCTGTTCTCCGCAACTTCACAAAAAGGGGATTTTACGACTTAAAGTAAAATCTTGACGCTTATTCATCAAACATAGAAAATATAAGGGTACATATTGTAATTAAGAAAACATAAGAGTAACAGCTTGTCAAAATCCTTAGTGGGTATAGCCTTACACGTATAGCCAAGCAGACCTTGTTCTTATCCTACCCAACCTTCTCATTTTACCGGCGCCGGAAAATCCCTCCGAGCCGAAAGGCTACGGGCTTATGACTCATCGGTCGAAAATGATCCGATTTTCTCTCTGCCGTCGCCTGTGAAGGAAGCCTTAGAAACCAATCTATTGGTAAAAATTTCGAGCTCTGCATTTTGCTTCCGCTGGAGAAGAATACAATTTACCGCTGAGAATGCGACATTGTGAAGCAGAGCCTTAATAGACATAAAGTTTGAAGCTTTATTAGGACAGCAATTCGTCTTTAATAAAAATCTCAGATTTGAAACTGTTATGAGAATTATCATTCTGTTTTGATGAGTTCGCTTCTCTCAGTCAGAAGAGTGGTGATTTGTGCTTCTCTGCTTTGCGTTAAAGTGGATGCTCAGTCTCTGATTCTACGGCCATCGATGATGATATGGGGAAACCCAAATCTTGGTGATCCTGATCGAAATGTCGGTTAAGAAACATAACTGCCAACTGAGAAGAGTGGTTAAAACCATCCCGGAAACTACACCTTACTCTGTATCTCTGTTTCTGTGTGTCGATGATCCTGCAGCTCTTTCTCTTCAGGTTCATCTCTGAACCAGACCTTAGTCTCTTTCTCTGGTTCTATCTGTGGTGCATCTGAGCTCATGTTTAATGCATCCTCGAAATTCATTCCAGAATCTGAAGCCTGAGATTGGCTGCTTATAGAGTAATATAGAGAACTTAGGAAGAGGTATTGATGTTCTGAAACTTGACAATGCAGAGTAATCCCCGTTTGGGATTTCTCAAGAAATCACAGAAGGAAACTCAAGGTACAAGCTCTTCTTTTACTTTATAATCCGTAGTTATAGTAAATCTGAGATCTTGCATTTTAAATGGTACCCCATAATATACAGTTTCCTTCATCGAAGAAGAGGTGTACAATCTTAGTTTGGCTGTGTTTGTAGTTCTTAAGAAATAAGACAGACACTAGAGCGACACTAGTCATGCCTTAGGGTAACCATGAAGCAACAGATATAACCCACAAAAGACTACTTTTTTCTTTTTCTGTAATTGAAGTCATTAAGTGACCGTACAGTCTAAAGACCTAAAACATAATGGATATTGTCTCCAAATCATCTTCCCCGTCTATTATGTCATTCAACTTTGTGAAACTGAGGTTAAGGATCCCTTGGATCTCGTTGTCAAAATGATAAGAGATCCCGAGGCTAATAAGCAAATGGATGAGACGAATCTTCTCTTTGTCGCTGCTGTGAGAAGTCATGAGCATGTCTTTTACCAGCGGCTTCATAATATCAATCTCTTCTTCTAGCTCATCAAGTTCCTAAAACAAGTTACAAAATGGCTGGTCAAGAATCATGATTTCTGCAACAAGATACGTGACAGGGTCATATCCACTTACAGCACCGTCGAGGGGAACATAGAGGAAGTGATCTCCCCAAAGAGAGGGAGAAAAATGCGTCCGAGGACGAACACTCTCAAGATCGTCACTATTTCAACTATTTGTAGTAGCATTAACACAGAGCGAGACGTGTTTCATGGGTTTCAGAGAAAGAGTGTGGTTGGGAAGCAACCGGTGAGGAAAGAGAGCGAGGCTGGTCTTACAACAGAGAGGGGCTTGGGGAAGGTGAGAGAAAGTTCTGAGACCAAAACCCATTCTTGTTTGCTTAAGTCACAGTCAAGAGAGATAGATATATTCTGCTTGAAGTACTCTGTTCTGGTGTTCGGCTATCTCAGATGTGTTCTTATTATATTTTGTCAAAAAGGTACAGACTTATATAACAAAATAAAATGCCAATTGATGGAAATATTTTACCTATATAAACTATGCTCTTATGATCCATGTGGAACAAAACCCATTTTTAGATGCAATACGCCAATATGAACCTCGGATCAACTAAGTTTTATTACAATGTGAATTTTTTTCTATTACAGTATTACTGAATTAACTTTACCTAAACTTTACTTAATAAATTATGAAAATCAAATAAATGAGACCAACAAAAAACTTATAAAATATCTTATAGAATAACAGAGGAAGTAGTATTAAACATGTAACGTCTCTCACTTAGTTTTACAAAGTTAGAGATCGAGTTTATTGGTGAGCCTTAACACTCAATGAATGATATTATCTTTAACATCGGGGGAAATTGTCAATACACATGCATGTAAAAGAAATCTTAAAAATTCAAAACCACAAGTAGGAAATAAATTATAGGATTTGAAAGTGTTCAAAGGGGGATTGGTTGGAGGAACAAAGACGCAAGAAGATCTTTGAACTGTTGATCGGGTTGGCCAAATCCATCACCATTCTTGTAATACAAATCGATCACGCGTGCAATGTTAACAAGTCGCACTAGAATCTGTCGTGGCACAGCTTTCGACGTCATGAACTCCTCCATCATTATCTTATAATTCTCTCTTTCCATCTTCGTCAATTCTTCAATTGCCGCTTCTTTGGAAACACCATGTTGCTTCATGTAACAGTGGACACCATTGGCCACCTCTCCTCTGGCCACCTCTTGCTGTTCATTATATATATATAAAAAGAAGTATGAGTTTGTATAATTAATCAGGGGGCTAAATCTGTATGCATACCTCGTACGTGACAATGTCATTGCTTAGACGAAACACAGCATTTATAGCTTGAAGGATTTTGGGTTTGGAGTAGAACCACTCATTCAGTTGCTCCTGCTCACAATCGTCCATGGCTATAAAGCTGTAGGCTGCAAAGTCAGTCATTGCAGCCGCGGGAATCCCATTCTCTATGTAATCCTCAAAACTCTGAACGTGACTTGCGCGTGCCCATTTTGCTATCGTTAGATACAATTTCGTGAGACTCTTAGTCTGCAAGGATCACTGCCAATTAGATCAATGGGTTAAATGGTGTTCTACTACGCACTTGAGTTCGATTACCTCATCTATTGTTAGTTGCAATCTACCAAGTTTTCCTCGAGCTCTCATTTCCCGATCAATATCTTCCACAGTTTCAAGAACATTTCGATAGATGATTCGCATCTAGCTTGGTAGTTCTTCAACGGCACTAAGATCACACCTGGGCATTTCTTTCCTTTGTCAACTTAATCGAAGAAAGCACACACACATATATATATATATATATATATATTAGATGATGCATCTTGCATAATATCTTGGCATGTATGCTTGTAGATCAGAAGACTTTTACATACATACATACCTTTGGAAAGCTTCGTGAAGACTTAAAGACTCAGGAAGAGTGGCATATGCATCAAATGTATCATCCACAACGGTCAAGATCATTGTAAGTTTCGCCACAATAATTCTCCCAGGTGAATAGCGTGGCTCGAAATATATTCCTAGCCCGCCAAGATAGACCTCCACATTTCGGTCCCTTATGTATGGTAGCTTATGCGCCACGTCTAGCTCCTTCCACCACCTGTAACCATCAATTAATTTACATGATAATTAAGAACCAACATTAGCAATGAAGAATCCTTAATATATACACACACCGATTTGAATGGCAAACCGTGATTACTTTGTGACAATTTTAAGCTCTTTGACGTAATGCATCTGGCAAAAGTTGAAGTTGAGCTTGGCAAACTTAAGGATCGTCTCATCGTGGCCTTCTTCTTGGTCGTAGAAAGAGATGTACTGCCTTGCCACTAGTATCTCTATGCTATGATATCGAGCTCTATACAATGCGTTTTGTATATGTTTAAAGAGATTGTCGCTTGTTTCTTGGCTTGTCAAGGACTCCAAGTGATACCGAGTGAAACTTATGGCTTCGTCCATTATGTCTTCAGATGGTGTCCCGAGATGCGCTGCTTCGTACAACTGTAGCATCCCTCTAGCATCCTTTGCTAGACTTTGCTTCAACTTCCCATCTTCACCTTTGAATCGATCAAACACATCTATGCCAAACCGATATATATGTAAAATGTTATTCGTATAAATATGAGTGCGAAAACTGATTAAAAAACACATTTAAAGTTGTTAAATTACCGCAAGACATCTTGTGTCCGTATAGTCTGAAAACTTCAAACATGATAGCAATTGTTTCAAGATCATCTTCTTCAGAAATTATGCCGTCCAACTTTCGGAAAGCTTGGTGTAGAATCTCTTCTATTTCGCTCTCAAAATAATGAGCGATAGCGAGGCTGATAAGCAAATGGATAAGACGAATCCTATCCTTGTCGCTACTGTGAGGAGACACAAGCATGTCTCTCACTTTAGGCCTCATCACAGTCTCAATTTCTCGCTCAAGAGCTTCAAATTCCTACATCGATAACAATATGGCTTCGTTAAATAAATCAACGAGACTGATCACGAAACACATCAGATCATCAGGTGTGCTCTTACAGAGTCATGGACGGGAACAGAGAGGAAGTGATCTCCCCAAAAAGATGGAGAAAAGTAGGTCAATGGACGAGTACTCTCGAGATCGCCACTACTCTCAGCTTTAACACATAACAAGTCGTGTTTTGAGGGTTTCTTGGAGGGAAAGGTATTGTTTTGAAGCAAACGGCGAGGAAAGAGAGAGAGGGCGAGGTTGGTTTTAAGAGAGAGAGGGGGTTTGTGAACGTTAGGGAGAGTCTTAGGGCCAAAACATATTCTTGATGCTTCCATGTTTAGACAAAAAAAACTCTACTCTGTTTTTGTGGTAAGATGTCTGGTTTACTTCGCCTTTTTCTCTGCTCTCTTTTAATAGATCTGGAAAATGCCTAACTCTAAAAGCATCTCCATCGTATAACTCTCTCAACTTACATATTCTATCTATATTTTATTAATATAGTCTAATAATTTAATTAATTTTAAATATAAATAGATTGAACATATGATGAGATACATTTTTTAAAAGTTTTCAAAAGAGATGTCTCTCCACCTCTCTATTTTTTTCTTACTATTATTATTATTATTATTATTATTACTATTATTATTATTATTTTTAATTTTTAGAGTCATCGATAGAGATGCTCTAACATATTTCAATTTTTTTAGGATTGATTCTCTAAAAGCATCTCCATCTGCTATGAATAATTGTAGCAAATAGCAATTATCAAAACCAATGCATGATTTTGTCATGCAACATAATTAATTAGTCTTTACTACCTTCATTCGCACGTCTTACCCTTTCTTTACCAACCAACAAAAAAAGTCAATGGCCAATGTCTTTTTTTTTTTTTTTTTTTTTTTACGTAAGTATGTAAAGCATCACAAACTGCTGCACCTTTTCTGATTTACGTTGGTTTACTCTGTTTTTGATGAAGTGGTTTTTTTTGTTTTGTTCCTCTTGATAATAATAATAATAATAATCTGTTTTACGCTAATACGCTCAAGGGCTCTACTTTGGTTAAAGTCTTCTGTTTTTTTGTTGAATAATTTCTGTATTGTTTGATTTCGTATTGCAGAAGCTTTCTATGCTGCACTCTGTTATTACACAGGTCATGGGAAAATTCTCAAATAGTGCTTCAAGTCAACTTGCCAAAAAAAAAATATGGGGATTGTTTTTGCTTTACAAATAATACACAAACTATTAAGAAGTTCCTATTTAAAGAGGAATCATGCAGGCATGTTTTACAAATCTTGAAGCTAATAAAACCAAAATAAAAATATGAATCTTGGGGATCCAAGTGTCCAACGTTGGAAACTATAGCCAAATAGGTTGATATCATTATTGATTAATTTCGCATACATGTTTATGATCAGATACAATTATATAACACATGAGATGTAAATAAAAGCAAATAGAAGCTAACTCGTAAATTTATATATCCTGAACAAGAACAACTATATATAGTGTGGTACTTGGTGAGGTGTTTAAGCTCTTGGAAGTAATGCATCTGGCAGAAGTTGAAGCTGAGCTTCGAAAACTTGAGTAGCATCTCGTCGTGCTCTTCTTCTTGATCGTAGAAAGAGATGTAATTTCTTATGGATATATAGTATATCCATGTTTTGATATCGAGCTCTATACAACGAGTTGACAAAGAAAAATGCAGGTGCTCTGTTTTTTGGCTGAAGTACTCTGTTTCTCGAAAGAAGTGTTTGACCAATTAGAAAATACTACTAACACAAGAAATTAATCTGTGACGACACGTTTGTAACATTAACCGTAGTCATTATTAATCAATAAACACATGCTAAAAAACAGAAACCATGCATATATAATAACTAACAGTTTGTTGGCACATCTTATTCAATGTTTCCTAAAAGTCAATGGTCGATGAGACGAGTTTTAATTTCCAAACGGGGGAATATGTCAGACTTATCGCTTAATGGGAAATCCACATCATCACGTTCTTATTATAAACATATAACTTCTCTCAATTAGTATTAGGGTTTGTACACATGAGAAGCGGGAAAAATAGAAGAAGAGGTAGTTTAGGAAACGCAATTAACCTTTTGGTCCTTTTTCCTTTCTTTTTATTTATATAACAAGAACATGAAAAAAAGGAATTGAAAAACATTTTAGTTTGAAATAAACAAGATGAGAGATCGAGCTCAAGAATCAGTTGTTTCTGTAGGCAATGTAGCTGGCCAGAGCTACTAGAGGTGCCGCCTTAACCGGATCAAACCCTAGTAGCTGTTCCTCTGCTTCTTTGCTTAATTTCGCCGCAAGTAACCTCGATTTCTCCAAACCAATCAACCTCGGATACGTAAGTTTTCCGGCGACAACGTCTTTTCCGGCGCTCTTGCCCAATTCTTCAGTAGATTTCGTTACGTCGAGAATATCGTCAACCACCTGGAACAACAGCCCAATACATCTTGCATACTTTCTGAGCTTTTCCACCTCTTCCTCTGTTCCACCTCCCATTATGGCTCCTAAAACCGCCGCTGCCTCCAACAACGCCGCCGTTTTGTGGAGGTGGATGAACTCTAGACGCTCCAATCCGACGTCGTCTGGATTCAATCCTTCGCTTCTTAGGTCAATCACTTGCCCAGCCACTAGCCCTTTCGTCCCTATGGCCTTTGCGAGCTCAATCACAGCACGGATCATCCTCTCAGGGGGAACCAACCCACTCGACACGACCGTCATGTGCTCAAACGCCAAAGCAAGAAGCGCATCACCCGCCAAAACCGCCATGTCTTCTCCAAACACCTTGTTTGAGCAAAAATTGTTTCAACAATAGTGAGCATACATTTAACAACAAACGAAATGATTTGACAACGTACCTTGTGGTTGGTGGGTTTGCCTCTTCGGAGTTCTGCATCGTCCATACAGGGAAGGTCGTCATGAATAAGAGAACTCGTGTGGATCATCTCCACCGCGCAAGCGGCTGACATGGCAATATCCTCGTCGCCACCTACGAGCTCGCAGGCAGCAATGCAGAGGAGAGGCCTCACACGTTTTCCGCCCGCTAGCAATGAGTTCCGCACCGCCTCCTGGATCGTGAGGGGTTTCAGAAGCGGTACAGAAACGTCAAGAGCAGCGCTTACAGATTCGGCTTTACGGACCATATACGACTTGAAGTCAAAGGCAGAGATGTGATCATTTCGTTTTCCCTCTGGTGGAATCATGGTGAGAGCAGATGAGAGAGACAAAACAGTGCGTTTTGGGAGACTCCTGACGGAGGAGATGGAGTTGAAACTTCTTCCTTTGGGTAGGATGAAGAGGGAGGATGGGCTGAGATGAACAGTAGCCATGGTTGATCCACCTTCTCCGATACAATTTTATAATTGGGTTTGCCTGTTAAGAGCTCTTAATAGGTTCCTTGGACTTGGAAGCAATGACGGTCAACGAATCTTCTGTAATTTTAAATTGTATCATCTGCAAGAAAGACAGTATGAATACTTGATTATGAAATGAAAAAGTCACGATCTACGTACTACATATATTATAATTAGAATAATTGAAAGCAGTTCACGTTTCATTAGTTAGTTATTGCCTTATCGGAGGAAGTACTAAAAATAAAGAAGTTGACTTCAGGTACAGAGTTTGTGAAGTCTGATATGAGGCCTTTGCCCAATCTTTTAGTCAAGACATTGTGAACTATAAAAGAAAATTTGTGAAGATCTGATCCTAGAACATTATGAGTGTCCTAACTTCAGGGCCACTTGATCAGAGTAGTGAAATACAGAGAATCAGGTACTTACAGTTCATATTTGATTTGTTCCAGGAGAACACGCTTGGTGCTTTGTAGCCACGAAACGAAGCTAAGCTCTTGATCCACGAGAGAACACCATGTAATAAGATAACATCCAAAAAGCTGACACACATCAGACAACATAAGCTGTTATTGCCAGTCATAAGCCATGCTGATCTTCACAATTCCGCAGTCCTTAGATCAATGCAGTAAAAGCAGATGTTGTGCGGAACACACTACTGAAAGTTGGGAGCTTTGGATAAACGTTTTCCCTAGAGCATTCATCTTACTAAACCAATGAAGCTCATCCTCATGCTCTCCAAACGCAGATATTATAAAGTGCCAGGTGATATCTTCCTCTTTAGGCAACGCTAACTCTACGCATTTAGAAATGCATCTTTTTCTATAAAATCCTTTTGGCAATATCTGCCCAAGTAAAACCACATCTTTCTTCGGCATCTTCTCAAAAAGTTCATAAGCTTCAAATGTTTGCTCATGCTCACACTCTAGAGGCATTGATGAATCTAACCCGTAGAACTTCCCACAGGATTAAAACATGAGAGCCAATGTGCTAGAATTAACACCGACGTTTCCCTCCTGTTTCATTCTCAGAAACAAAACCAAAGCCAACTTCGAAACAACCATCAATCATAGCACATTTTTTCTCACAGGGCTTCTATCAAATAACATCAAAAATATATCTCCTTTGCAACACCCATCAAACAGCGAGCTAATATGATACCAGAAACTTTTTTCTCTACCATGCCCTGAAAAAAATGCCAATAGCCTCATTCAAAGTCTCTGTTTTCAAATAAACCACTTACAACAACTTCTTCGGATGTCACACATAGTAAATTATGTGCCTTTGTTGCACATCCCTTCCCGAAATAATCCATTAATGCTCCCATGAGGCGTAAATCATGGCGTTGTAAGAATCTGTGGTTCTCTTGGGCATTTCATCGAACACCTTCCTGGCTTTACTCAATCTTACCGGTTACTACATCGGCGGTCCTCATCGCAGTCCAGGAAACTAAAATGGTAATACGAAATGGGTCTAACATTCTCTTCCATCTTCCCGGTCCTTCCGTGATTCGTGATCTGAGAAGTACAGTCAACGACGGGAAATTGCATGATTCCAAAGGTTTCCGATTTGAGCTTATGAGACGATATGCGTAGAAAAGAAAAGTGGGGACTTGGAAGAAGATATGGCAAAAGTGTAACTGAGGAAGAAGGCCATGTCCGTGGATTAAGCCGCAAATTAGTTAGTTAGTCGCATGACCCAACACTGAGGAGAGAATGACGGACGGGATGGCGGGAAACATTTAGTGCTGTCAGCGTAAGCCCTTCCAGTTGCGTTAGAAGGTTTCAACAACGCATCACCAATTTATAATTTTTTTTTTTATTTTTCCTTTTCCTTTAGCCGAATGTGCTTTCTCTTTGTTTGGTTTTCCTTTTTGAAATAATAATGCTTAAATATTTTTCCAATTTTCGAAATTGTCTTTTTGACCAAAACTAGAAAAACAATTTGTATACAAGTCAGTTTTTTAGTAAACAACAAAGAAAAGATGGTTTGATTATTATTTTAATACGAGAGGGAGAGGCTACAAGAACAAAAGAGTTTAGACTACGAAAAATTATGATTTATGTGGTATGGTATGATATGATTGTGCAAAACGACTTTACCATCATCAAATCAACTCAAAGATTCGTGTTTGTATTATAATACATTACTTTTCAATAAGAATGTTAGATTTGACTAGCAACTCGTAAAATAATTTTCTAATTTACATTTCCTGTTAGAATTTGATTCAATGACTACTTGTAGAAATCTGTTGATGCCATTGGTGACTGCAAAACAAACATAATTTTTAATCGTTGGTTGTTGTTGATTTCGTTATAACATGTAACTATATTGTTAACGAATGTAAAACTAAAACCATGCAAATGAAAACGAAATCATCAAACTACCAAGTGTTTGAATCAAATACACACTCAGAAAAAAATAATTCGACAAATCTTGGAGAATAATTGGAGGACATTAAAAAAAAACGAAAACAAAGGTGGAGACATGTGAACCGATAGATAATTGATGCGATGAAGATGGAGTGGGTCGGTCCACTGGAAGAACCACCACTCGTGCTAATGCTTCTATAATGCTTCGAATCTCATTTATTCGGTCAAATCATTTCTTCTCCAACGTCCAACACCCACATGTGACACGTACCTTATCAGGCATATTGTATACGGCCCCCAAATAAAGTTTTCTTTTTATATATTTAACGTAAATTTAGTGTCGGTACGTGCATTGTGAAGGTGACATCCTCCATAATCCATTTGCACTATAAGTCTACATGTATCATGTATGTTAGATGTACAATAGACCTGAACCGTTTTTATAGGCGTGTAAATTGCTCATTCTTACATAGCAACTTTGTTTATAGACAATACATAGTTAGATTGAATTCTTCTTTATACAGATTTTAAAATATGAGACAACACTATATTAAGACTTTTTTTTTTTTTCCTTTTGATAGAAGTGTAGATCTTTTCTTATTATCAAGAAGTTCGAGATCAGACGATTGATAATTGTATAGTACGATATCGATTATCATTCCTAAAATATATTAAATTTAAAACATGATAAAAAAAAAAAAGCAATTCGTTACAATCACCACTAGCTAAACCATCGCATTCACATTATTATCTTTGCCTTTTTTTTTAACACATTACCTTTGAAAAGTAGACTACCTTACTGTTATTTTAGTTCTATATGGTATATACATAATAAAATAACTTTGAAAACTAATCAAATGAATTTGTAGAAACGTGATTTATGTTGAACAACTGTCATTTATAATTCATCATTCTACTGATTAAAAACCGGAAGAATTTATTTGTTAAAATTATACGAACTTTAAAATTTGATATCGATATGTTATTCTATTCCACGTAACTTTTTTCTTCTCGTAAATCTGTTGTTAGCAATCATAACTTTTTGTTTGATAAAGAGTGATGGTGATTTATATATCAAAGTTTGTATTTCTTTTTTTTCGGTAGAAATTAAAAAAGTTCCTCAAGAATAAAATCTTTCATAAAAAAATGATCACTTTGTGGATATTTTATAGTAGTGGTATTATCCGGAGCATTTTAAAAAGTTTACCTTTTCAAAATTAATACGTCCGTATTTGTTCCCAAATTAATTGCAAACATGAGTAAAGTAGATGTCTCGGCTTTGTTTCTTCGCCTGTCCGAAAACCATATCTATAAGTGGGATGTGCATTGTACCAAACTTGCAAGATCTTGCCTATACGCATATTCCACTTGGACACTTGAAATTTGACATTCAACTAATTTCTATAATTAATAATATATATATATATATATGTCCATGAATTAATTTCAGTCAGTCATGTCTCCTCGATGGTCCATTATCAGTTAGGCCAAAAGCTATAACATTATCCCATTCTTATTCTTTATTATAAACTATTATTATCATCATCATCATCATAATCACATTACATATGATCACATGATTGGTCGTGTAGTGTAGGGAGACATCTTATCTCATATGCCAATATGCCTAATTAATTAATTGAGTAACATTTCCCTATATATAAGACCTTATAGCTTTGGCTCAAGTTATAATATATATACTCTCTTAAGTTATATATTTGCTCTTCTTAAACCGTTTCTCTCTTCTCACAAAATGGCGTCTGTGCAATATGGTTTGGATCAAGGCATGGAGATTTTCAACGATGAGCTTATGATCATGTCGTTTTTGGAAGAAGAATCGCCTGTGGAAAACCATAGTAGCGTTAACGAAGAGGAAGAAGAGAAACTAAACCGCGTGATTAGATCGCTAGAAGTGGAGATCAACATGAGTTCTCCGACAACCATAGAATCTCGGAAAACGGATCTCCAACAGACACAATCCGGTCATGAAGATGATTTCGGGTGGCTTAACGACTTTGATATTGGTGTGGTTTCGTCGCAAAATGATGATGAGATGATAAATTGGTGTACGGAACTTTCTTACATGGATGGTGTGGATAGTAGTGTTCTTGAGATTGAAAGTGGTGATTATTATTCTCATATTAACTATGGACTTACATTTGAGGAACCAACTTTCTCTCTGTGGCAAGAGAATAATGATGTAGTTATGTATTGATTGATTTTGTGAAATCATAATATAACAAAGACTGTTTCGTATCGGTTAATTAACCTTTTAAGTTCATGTATGCATTCGTAAATGTTATGCTAACCTTTCATGTTTTTTTTTTTTTTTGTTGGTTGTGAAATTCAAGAACTTAGTTAGTATCGAAATATACAATTTCTTTAAATAATGTAATTATCATTTGCGAAGACTAAATGATCAAATTTAATTAGCATGTATCAACATGAGTTGGATACAGATATACGCTTCAGTTCACACGATTTTATTTATGAGTAAAAAAGTATGAACACTCGTGATTGTTGTATATTCACTTGTAATGGGTGAATTAGCTATCATATAATATTCTGACATCAATGAATATGTGTTGGAAAAAAAAAAACTTATGATATAAAAAGAGAGGTAAATAATAAATGTCATTTTCATATTATTGAATTTAACAAATCAAATTATCAGTTCATATGACATAATTAACAAATTTAAAATATGGATTGCTTACTTGGTATTAGTCTTCCTTTCAAACGGTATACATGACATAAAGCCCATGGGCCATGGGCCATGGGCTTACTATAAACCATTTCAAGAATATATTGGCGGATAGGTTTAAAAGTCTACATTTACATCAGGCCCAGTTAGGCCCAATCATTACACTAAAACATGTACACTTTTTTTTGGTTGTTTATTGTGTTTAGACTTGGAACAAAACTGTACCACAATACAATTTGAGATTCAGAGGTCTACACACACTATACAGTACACCCACTAATGTAAATAATATGTAAAACAAACAAAATTTGAATACGTTCATTATCCAAAATCTTGTTTTTTTTTGTTTCTTAAATATAGTTCTACTCAATAAATAATATTAAACATTTTTTTAATTACAACAAATGGGTTTGATTTGGACACCAAGTTATATATTGTGGTCTTTTGGTATATTCTTAGTGACTAAGAAATAGATACATATGCACATTAGCTCCGGAAGTATATGCTTTATGGTCTAATTTGTTTAAATAAGATTTGGCTGTTTTACAATCAATCAACTTTTTTTTTCTTTTTTCCATGCACGTTGGTATTATGGTGTAAACTATTGCTGTGATGCACCTTTCTTTAGCAAGGATTTAGTAAAAAAAAAACAATTTTATTTTTCAACAAAACTACATATACCAAATGGCTATTTCCGCATATCTTTCACTTTAACCCTTTATTTAATCTATTTCTTTTGGAGAAAAAAGCTTACTTAGTTAATTAAAAAGTCATTTTCCCACTTTAATCTTTCTGACAATTAAGACCAATTATGTAAGCTAATCAACAATGTGACTCTCTTCTATGGTCATGTAATAAAATTGGACCTACTATTTAAAACCAAGAGTTTGTCTTACATTTTCTGAAAGAAAAAGAATCGAATTACTGTCACCTATCTATGAAAAAAGAAACTTTGTTTGGTAGAAAAGGTTATATTAGACTATACTTATAGGAAAGTGAAAACTGAATTGTTTCACATATCCAAATAATATGAAAAAAAATTAAATAATTTATCCGGTATTTTAATTTTGTCAATTTATCATCGTTTTCCCTCTAAAAAAGAACGGCCAATTAATAAAGAAAGAAAAGCAAAAGCCAAAAAGGAAATCGCACCCATCATCATCATCTCTCAAAAAAATTCCGCCATGGAAACTCACCTCGCTAAGCAATTAGCGCTTTATATAAATCCTTTCAAACTCCACACCATCTTCCTCCCTCCCGAATGCTTCCCTCCAAAATCCCACCGACCAAATATCCCTAGACGAATCAGCTTTCGTCAGTTTCTGATTCTGATTTCTCCCAGCTATAATGTCTCACGAAATCGTCCCCGTGGATCCCATCGATGTCCCAAGCACGAGCTACTCACGGCCGATTCTGGGTCGGGAAGATTCGCCGGAACGCCGCCAGTTCACGAGATCCCTCACTTTCCGGGAACACGTGTCGGAGCCATTTGACAGCGAGAGGCTCCCGGCGACACTAGCCTCCGAGATTCAGAGGTTTCTTCGTATAGCCAACTTGGTTGAGTCTGAAGAACCTCGTATTGCTTATCTATGTGAGTTTACCTCTCTAAAAAACCATTTTTTTCTGCAAAAATTCGCGCTTTCTTATTCAGAATTCAGTAATCATACTTCTTCACTAGTTCACTACCAATTTTGAAAAAAGTTTAGTTCTAAAAATTGAAACTTTACTTCGCAGGCCGTTTTCATGCTTTCGAGATAGCTCACCACATGGACAGAAATTCAACGGGAAGAGGTGTACGGCAGTTCAAAACTTCTCTTCTTCAAAGGCTTGAGCAGGCAAGTCTATATGACCCATCAGATGAGTGATGTTGGAGCCAGTTTCCAAATATTTCTAATCATTTTGCGATTTTGGCTGACCTGTACTTGCAGGATGAAGATTTTACTGTGAGAAGAAGAAAGGAGAAGAGTGATGTTAGGGAACTCAAACGTGTTTATCATGCTTACAAAGAGTACATTATCAAACATGGTGCAGCCTTCAATTTGGATAATAGGTTAATATCCTCTGTTTTTTTTATTAAAATGTACTGATTATAGTTTATAGTTCATTTTCAGCTTAGCCAACATTATTAACCTTTGGAAATTTTTATTATCTTACTAGTCAACGAGAGAAGTTGATAAACGCAAGGAGAATTGCTTCTGTCTTGTATGAAGTTCTAAAGACAGTCACAAGTGGCGCAGGCCCTCAGGTTCTGGTCTCCTTTTCTCAATTCTCTCCGTTTTTGGCAGATTAATTTGTGTATCTAACTTGTGATTAATGGTTTCTGATAGGCCATTGCGGATAGAGAAAGCATTCGAGCTAAATCTGAATTCTATGTGCCATATAACATTCTTCCTCTTGACAGAGGAGGTGTACACCAAGCAATTATGCATCTGCCTGAGGTATAAAGAAAGATATATGTCTATCTTATTAACATTTCTCATTGTAGTATATGTCATGGTTACGCGGTTACGCCACACATCATATTATAATTTTTCATGTTCCCTTGTGTTATAAACTATAGATTAAAGCTGCTGTTGCAATTGTACGCAACACTCGCGGGTTGCCTCCTCCAGAAGAGTTTCAGAGACACCAGCCTTTTGTGGATTTGTTTGAGTTTCTGCAGTATGCATTTGGGTTCCAGGTACTTGTCAGGAACTTGTGATCGGTATTGTAAAAAGTCTGTAATTTTACATATGCTAACCAAACTTTCAATTTATCTTTATCATAGAGTGGAAATGTTGCTAATCAGAGAGAGCATATGATTCTACTACTCAGTAACACCATTATACGACAACCTCAGAAACAATCTTCAGCACCAAAGGTGTTGTTATTATTTCCTCTTCTTATTTTGGAATTAATTATTTCTCCATCTTTGAAACTAACATCATCTTAATTCCTGTAATTAGTCTGGTGATGAGGCAGTAGATGCACTGATGAAGAAGTTCTTCAAGAACTACACAAACTGGTGCAAGTTTCTTGGGAGAAAAAACAACATCAGGTATTTTTTAGAATTGCCTTTCATCTTTCTAACATTCTGTATTGTTTCATCTAATTCTAACTGTACGGCCTCACAATCCATCTTGCAGGTTGCCTTATGTGAAACAGGAAGCCCTACAATATAAAACACTCTACATTGGACTCTACCTTCTCATTTGGGGAGAAGCTTCGAATTTGAGGTTCATGCCTGAGTGCTTGTGTTATATTTTCCATCAAGTAAGCTGAATGAGAAAAGCTCTGTTAAAAAATGTTTTTAGTACATCTTCTTCAAAAGTTTCATCAGTCAATCTGATCGATGTTTATTCAGATGGCTTATGAATTACATGGAGTTTTAACCGGTGACGTGAGTCTGATAACTGGGGAGAAGGTCGCTCCAGCATATGGTGGAGGAAACGAATCTTTCCTTGAGAAAGTAGTTACCCCAATATACAGAGTTATCGAAAAGGTGATCTTCTATTTTGATGGAAGCGCTTTAATTAACTTAAAAATGAGTAGTCAATTCTAAAAAGTATATTGTCTGCAGGAAGCTGAGAAGAACAAGAACGGAACTGCTGATCATTCTATGTGGAGAAACTACGATGATCTGAACGAGTTCTTCTGGTCAGAAAACATTCACTATCTAGTGTCTCTTTGCTACCATATCTGTGTTTTTCAACATCACTAATCAGTTTTGTTACGTCTTTTCCACAGGTCTGTTGACTGCTTCGAAATAGGTTGGCCAATGCGCTCAGAACACGATTTTTTCTGTGTAGAATCGTCAGACACCAGTAAACCAGGGAGATGGAGAGGAATGCTTAGGTTTCGTAAGCAGACGAAGAAAACAGATGAAGAAGTGGAGGATGACGAAGAACTTGGGGTACATATCCTTTGTAACTCATGGAAATCTCTTCACCTGATTATGCATTTGCATGTATACACACTTAGTAATCTAAAGGATAATGAAAAGCTTTATTCATCAGTAGCTCTTCATTTGTGACATAGCAGTATGGTGTTCCTACCTTGTTGAGGAGACTACGGAGCATTTTTATCGCTTAAAATCTAAGTAAGCACAATTTTCAAACCGGTCAAATTTGTGATTGAAGGGCTTCCAAAATCAGAACCAGAAAAAAAAAATGGAATTTGGGCTGTCACTAGGACTAACGTTCTTAAGTTTAGAAAATTGCATTGATTTTAAAATCCAAACAAATAATTCTCTTGTATGTCTCAAGTTTGCTACATGGTTATATTTTTTGCATTGATTTTTTCTTGTGTCATGTGATGTCTTCGTTACTGCAGGCTATCAGTGAGGAACAGACTACGTCAACACCAAGATGGCTGGGGAAGACAAATTTTGTAGAGACTCGTTCCTTCTGGCAAATATTCCGGAGCTTTGACAGAATGTGGAGTTTCTTTGTTTTGTCTCTACAGGTTCCTCTTCTTCTCCTCTTTCATCTTTCAAACTATATTCAAGTGTATATGTTTACAGATGGTGAAATTCTTATTTCCCTTTTCAGGCATTGATAATTATGGCTTGTCATGATGTGGGATCTCCACTCCAAATTTTCAACGCCAACATATTTGAAGATGTCATGAGCATTTTCATTACTTCTGCAATTATAAAGCTTTTAAAAGGTTATTAGCCATTTTATCTTAATTTTTAAACTAAGATGCAAAAATACTTATTGCTGACATTTTAGGTGGGGTTTGTTGCAGGTATTCTTGACATAGTCTTCAAGTGGAAAGCGAGAAACACAATGCCGATCAATGAAAAGAAGAAGCAGATGGTGAAGTTGGGTCTTGCTGCAATGTGGACTATTATTCTACCAGTGCTGTATTCTCATTCAAGAAGGAAATACATTTGTTATTTCACAAATTACAAAACCTTGCTTGGTGAATGGTGTTTTTCTCCTTACATGGTGGCAGTCACGATATACTTGACAGGAAGTGCGATTGAGTTGGTCTTGTTCTTTGTTCCTGCCATCAGCAAATACATTGAGACTTCTAATCATCGCATCTTCAAAACTTTGTCTTGGTGGGAACAGGTACTTGAATCTCAAAAGCTGAACAGTTTCACTTTTGGTTGTCACTTTCACAAGTTACAATCGGATTACTTTATAAACGTGCGAGCTGTTTTCTGCAGCCTAGGTTATACGTTGGTCGAGGAGTGCAAGAAACTCAGATATCACAGTTCAAGTATGTCTCAGGCCAATCATACTGTGTTTCTTTTGTTAGTTATGTCTTTTTTTTTGTGGGTTTTGATTTTTCCTTTATTTTTCAGATACACCTTCTTTTGGATTCTGGTTCTCATAACCAAATTTGCTTTCAGCTATGCATTTGAGGTAGATTGAAGATACTGCTAATTTATGTTTTATGCGTTGAAATTCAGTAACAGTTTCTTACATTCATTATGATCTGTAAATGCAGATAAAACCTCTAATAGAACCTACAAGACTGATAATGAAAGTCGGCGTGCGGAATTATGAATGGCATGAACTTTTCCCAGAAGGTTTTATTCTTTACTATTAACATTTTTTCTTCTATATTAAAGTATATGTATCGGGGCGCACTAAAGAAGATTTTGTTTTCTCCATTTTATAGTTAAGAGTAACGCTGCTGCAATTGTTGCAGTGTGGGCGCCAATCATGGTGGTGAGTTTCCAGCTCCATGCATGTACTAGAAATATGAGTGTTTATAATTAAACTATATCGTAACTTCTATTCTGAAACAAATGTTGAACTTTTCAGGTCTATTTCATGGATACACAAATATGGTATTCGGTTTTCTGTACTATCTTTGGTGGGCTGTATGGAGTTCTGCATCACCTTGGTGAGGTAATCACACATTTCTTCAGTGCAAAAGTTGTCATTATGTGGCATTTCCTTGACATTCCTTTATATTTCTATGCAGATTCGAACTTTAGGCATGTTGAGAGGCCGGTTTCATACTTTACCTTCTGCTTTCAATGCATCCCTTATCCCACACTCAACTAAAGATGAGAAAAGGAGAAGACAAAGAGGCTTTTTCCCCTTCAATTTAGGCAGGGTACGTAAGAGTTGTTTTGAATCGACCATGTGTATATATACCTAAAGACTATATTTGAGTTCCGCATAAGAAGTGGTACACTTGTCTTTTTTTCAGGGGTCAGAAAGCCAGAAAAATAGTATGGCCAAGTTTGTCTTGGTCTGGAACCAAGTCATTAACAGTTTCAGAACAGAGGATCTGATAAGTAACAAGTAAGTTGCTCTTTTCTGCATTGTTTTGTTTGCATGTAAACTTCTGACATATGTAAGTCTAATATTTTATCATTCAGGGAACTAGATTTGATGACGATGCCAATGTCATCGGAGGTATTATCAGGGATCATACGTTGGCCCATTTTCCTCCTTGCAAATAAGGTACATTTTTTACAAATTTTCTACACAATCTTTTTTGCCTGGAATCTGTGTTTTGTTGGTAAAAATAGCTGCCCCATCTTACTAGTTTTCAACAGCTCTGAGCATTGCAAAAGATTTTGACGAGAAGGATGAGGTTCTCTATCGAAGGATCCGGAGAGACGAGTACATGTACTATGCAGTAAAAGAATGCTATGAATCATTGAAGTACATTCTTCAGATTCTTGTTATTGGTGATCTCGAGAAAAAGTATAGCCTTATTATAATATCTTCCTCACAATTTCTACCTTCAGTTTCTGCTGTTTGTGGTATGTGATTTAGAAGTTTTTGACATTGCCTCAGGATTATATCTGGCATAATAAACGAGATAGAGGAAAGCATCAGACAGTCAAGTTTGCTTGAAGAATTTAAGATGAAAGAGCTCCCAGCGTTGCATCAGAAATGTATTGAGCTGGTTCAACTTCTGGTAAAATCATCTTGTGGTGTTTTGCTATAGGATTTCAGATTTCGAATGTGACAGCTTTTCGTTTCATAAACTTGACTTCTTCTGTACCTTTTTCAGGTTGAGGGAAGTGAAGAGCAGCTCCAGGCTGAGAAAATTGAAGAGAAGCATAGTAAACTTGTAAAGGCCCTTCAAGATATATTTGAGCTTGTAACAAATGATATGATGGTACATGGTGACAGGTTAGTTGTGGAACCTCTGTTCCTTTTAGTGCTCTCTCTCTCTGTGAAAAGATAAACTTTCTTAATATCTCTTTGCATGTTTAGAATTCTGGATTTGCTAAAGTCGCGAGAAGGGTCAGAAGAGGAAACAGAGATTTTTATGAGAGTAATAGAACCACAGTTGTTTGAATCGTATGGAGGAATGAGATGCATTCATTTTCCGTTGCCAGATAGTGCTTCATTGAGTGAACAGGTACACTGTGATTGTCCTGCAATGAGTTCTTGATTCAAATGTTGTTATTGTGCTGATATTTCTATGTTGGTTTTGGCAGGTCCAGCGTTTTCTGCTACTGTTAACCGTCAGAGATAGTGCAATGGACATACCAGAGAACTTAGAAGCTCGAAGACGCATATCTTTCTTTGCTACTTCTCTCTTCATGGATATGCCAGACGCTCCTAAAGTACGCAATATGATGTCATTCAGGTTCTGCCTTCACGAATTTTCCCTCAGAAAGATATATACAAACTCTTGAATCATCAACAAATGTAATAACACTTTGGTTTGCAGTGTTTTGACACCGCATTACCAAGAGGATATTAACTTTTCAACGAAGGAACTACATTCCACCAAGTCTAGCGTGTCAATCATTTTTTATATGCAGAAGATTTTTCCAGGTAAATCTCAAACCATGTTCACTTTGATTGATGACTGTCTTGTCTTCTCTGATCTTGTTTCAAGATTTTTCTATTGTTTTGGTGGTTAGATGAATGGAAAAACTTTCTGGAGCGAATGGGATGTGAGAATTTGGACGAGTTAAAAAGAAACGGTAAAGAAGAAGAGCTTCGAAACTGGGCATCATTTCGTGGACAAACATTGAGTAGAACAGGTTGAAAAAGTATACCAATATATATATGCAATTTGCCTAATTGACTGGTCACTCTTATTCAGGGAACTAACAAATTTTTATGTTGTTTTCATGATTAACACAGTCCGTGGTATGATGTATTGTCGAGAAACTCTGAAATTGCAGGCCTTCCTTGACATGGCAGATGATGAGGGTTTGTCATCTCGACTCTTCTCTCTTATCTTTGCAAATTTCTGTTTGAAAAACTGATTCTGATGCAGTCTATATGTTCCTCCTCTAGATATCCTTGAAGGATATGACGGCGTGGAGAGAAGTAACCGACCTTTAGCTGCACAACTTGATGCGTTAGCAGACATGAAATTCACATATGTTGTGTCTTGCCAAATGTTTGGAGCTCAAAAATCAGCCGGGGATCCTCACGCACAAGACATACTCGACCTGATGATAAAGTAAGCTGTCTTTTTTTTAATTATGTAATCAAAAGTCATTTTATCGAACATGATCTCAGATAGAAGCAGTAGACAAAAGTTTGTACATTCTTCCCTAAAGCCACATTGCATGACTGTTTCACTTAGGTACCCATCTCTACGTGTTGCATACGTTGAGGAGAGGGAAGAAATAGTGTTGGATAATCCAGAGAAGGTTTACTACTCTATATTGGTTAAAGCTGTCAACGGTTTCGATCAGGTATATCAAAAGCTCGTCCACACTATTCTTGGTAACTTGATGTGCAAGTTAACCTGTAAAATTATCGGCGCATGGTAATTTTGTTGAGATAATAACTTAGGAAATATACCGTGTCAAACTTCCTGGACCACCTAACATCGGAGAGGGGAAGCCTGAGAATCAAAATCACGCCATAGTTTTCACTCGAGGTGAAGCACTTCAGACAATTGATATGAACCAAGTAAGTTTACTGCCTCTTGGTTGTACAATCAATGAGAACCACCTTTGTCTTCTAAAACGTCTTGCATAACGATTTAGGATAACTATCTGGAAGAGGCTTTCAAAATGAGAAATCTGCTCCAAGAATTTCTTCGGAACCGTGGAAGAAGACCTCCAACAATTCTTGGGTTAAGGGAACACATCTTCACCGGAAGGTTTTGCTCCACACTTATCTTGCTCCTTGAAACAAAATCATAACTTCATAAGCAGGGAATTTTAACTGAGTTTCTGATATTGCAGTGTTTCTTCTCTAGCATGGTTCATGTCATATCAAGAAACCAGTTTTGTCACAATCGGTCAAAGGCTTCTTGCTAATCCTCTCAGGCAATAATCTTTTAAGTCTTAAACTCTCAAAACACACAGTTTCCACTTGCCGAGACCAGGAAAATATAAACTTTTTTTGGTTTCATTGATTTACAGAGTTCGGTTTCACTATGGACATCCTGATGTCTTTGACAGAATATTTCACATAACAAGGGGTGGTATCAGTAAAGCATCAAGAACTATTAACTTAAGCGAGGACGTTTTCGCCGGTATGTAATCACATCTTAAGGACTTCTTTCTCAGCAACTTTGTAAGGTTATATAATTACATTTTTCTTTGCATTGCTTAGGTTATAACACCACCCTACGACGAGGATGCATAACCTACAATGAGTACCTCCAAGTTGGAAAAGGTCGTGATGTTGGCCTCAATCAGATCTCAAAGTTTGAGGCCAAAGTGGCCAACGGAAATAGCGAGCAGACTATTAGCCGTGACATATACCGTTTAGGACAACGGTTTGATTTCTTCAGGATGCTGTCCTGTTATTTCACAACCATTGGATTCTACGTTAGTAGCTTGGTAACGTCCATGAAACTTGAGCTGAATAATAACGCTTCCTTGTTTCATCTGTGGATGATGAGCTTTAACTTTTGCTGACGTTTGTGCAGATCTCTGTGATCGGGATCTATATATATCTCTATGGTCAACTCTACCTCGTGCTCAGTGGGTTGCAGAAGACACTTATTCTTGAGGCCAAGGTGAAGAACATAAAATCATTAGAGACAGCACTTGCCTCTCAGTCATTTCTCCAGCTAGGTCTCTTGACCGGTTTACCAATGGTGATGGAGATTGGATTGGAGAAAGGATTCCTCATAGCCTTTCAAGATTTCATACTCATGCAGCTTCAGCTTGCTGCATTCTTCTTCACTTTCTCTCTAGGAACCAAAACGCATTACTTCGGCAGAACAATACTCCATGGAGGCGCCAAATACAGACCCACGGGGCGTAAAGTGGTGGTGTTCCACGCCAACTTCAGCGAAAACTACAGATTATACTCGCGGAGCCATTTCATCAAAGGGTTTGAGCTCATCATTCTTCTGGTGGTCTATGAGCTGTTCAAGCATACATCTCAAAGCAACATGGCTTACTCGTTCATCAGTTTCTCAGTGTGGTTCATGTCACTCACTTGGTTATGCGCCCCGTTTCTATTCAACCCTTCAGGCTTCACCTGGGAGATAATAGTCGGTGACTGGAGAGATTGGAACAGGTGGATCAAGGAGCAAGGTGGGATTGGGATTCAGCAAGACAAGAGCTGGCAATCTTGGTGGAACGATGAGCAAGCCCATCTCCGTGGCTCTGGTGTCGGAGCTCGCTGTTTAGAGATCATTTTGTCTCTCAGGTTCTTTGTGTATCAGTACGGTTTGGTCTATCACCTTGACATCACCCAAAGCAGCACAAATATCATTGTCTACGCTCTTTCTTGGGTTGTGATTCTCGCCACCTTTCTAACAGTCAAGGTAAAATCTCTCATCTCCTTGCTCTTTCCGGGTAAAAGAAACAGAACTAAAGTCTCTTGTTTTGTCTTTGCAGGCCGTAGACTTAGGGAGGCAACTGTTCAGCACAAGAAAGCATCTCGTGTTTCGGTTCTTCAAAGTGTTCGTCTTCGTGAGCATTTTAACAGTCATTATCACTCTATCAAACATATGCCACCTCTCTCTCAAGGACCTTATAGTCTCTTGCTTAGCTTTCTTGCCTACCGGTTGGGGTCTGATTCTGGTACCAATCTTTCTCAATTCACTATGTTTTCTCAAAAAAAAAAAAATAGAGCAAAAGATTTAGTTTCTTATGGAGTTTCCTAAATTGTTGCAGATTGCACAAGCTGTTAGGCCAAAGATAGAAGGGACAAGCTTGTGGGAGTTCACACAGGTTCTTGCTCGAGCGTATGACTACGGAATGGGAGTTGTTCTGTTTGCACCAATGGCTATCTTAGCATGGCTTCCTATCATTTCTGCGTTTCAAACGCGGTTTCTCTTCAACGAAGCGTTCAACAGAAGGCTTCAGATTCAACCTATTCTTGCAGGGAAGAAGAAGAAATAGATGGATATGGCCTCCTCTCTTCTTTGCTTTGTACATCTTGTAACTATTTCACTTATTAATTCCTCTGTACAAAAATCTTAATCCATTCAAAATGTTGATATTTAAACCGGTCTGAACCGAACTCGAAGATGCCTCAACTGAAGCGCATCAAATTTTTGTATGATTTAATCGGTACTTTTCTTAAACGTGGATTAAACCGAGCTAATCTTCACAACCCAAGTTTTTAAAAGCTGTTAATTTGGTACTCTACAACAAAATCGAACAAGTTATGCCAAACCGAAATAGCTAAAACAGTAAACCACTTGGTTTAATTTATAGTTGGTCGACAAGAAAAATTCTGCCGTAGATAAAATATTTCGCGGTTTCAGCATCTTCAGAAAAGAAACAATGATTCTTCGGAGGCTCGTTGTCTCTGCGGCATCGAACTCAAATCCCAGAAGAAGCCAAACACTTTCTTCTTCTTCTTCTTCGGCTATTCGATTTCTCTCATCTTCTTCTGATAGATATACGCCGTCTCAACGATACTCCTCCGGTGACGATAAACTCGCCAGGCTAAGGCACAAGGACTGGTTGGCGCCAAACGAGGTTTTGAAAATCTTCGAAAATGTCAAAGATCCGAGCTTTCTGATGCCGGCTTACCAACATTACTCCAAGCGGAAGGATTATCAACCGACGGAATCTCTCTACGCCCTTCTGATCAACAAGTTCGGAGAAGCCAAGATGTTCGACGAAATCGAAGAGGTCATGAGAGCTGTGAAGCTCGAGAAAGGGTGTTGTCGCTTTTCGGAGGACTTCTTCTACAATTTGATGAGGATATACGGGAACTTAGCCGGAAGAATCAACCGAGCGATCGAGATTCTGTTCGGCATGCCGGATTTCGGGTGCTGGCCAAGCCCCAAAAGTTTCAATTTCATCCTGAATCTACTCGTTTCCGCGAAGCTGTTCGACGAGATTCATAAGATCTTCGTGAGTGCTCCTAAGCTGGGTGTGGAAATCGATGCTTGTTGCTTGAATATACTCATCAAGGGACTGTGCGAGAGTGGGAATCTGGATGCTGCACTCCAACTGCTCGACGAATTTCCTAAACAAAAGTCACGGCCTAGTGTTATGACTTTCTCGCCTTTGATCCGTGGTTTCTGTAATAAGGGCAAGTTCGATGAAGCCTTTAAGTTGTTGGAGAGGATGGAGAAGGAACGTATTGAGCCAGACACCATCACGTTCAACATTCTGATTTCAGGTCTAAGGAAGAAAGGTAGGGTTGAAGAAGGGATTGAACTTTTGGAGAGAATGAAGCTAAAAGGGTGTCAGCCAAACCCTGGGACTTATCAGGAGGTACTCTATGGTCTCTTGGATAAAAAGAGGAACTTGGAAGCTAAAGAGATGATGAGTCAGATGATTTCATGGGGTATGAGACCCAGTTTTCTCTCCTACAAGAAGATGGTTCTGGGTCTCTGCGAAACCAACTCGGTTGAGGAAATGGACTGGGTTCTGAGACAAATGGTGAATCATGGTTTTGTTCCAAAGACAGGGATGTGGTGGAAAGTTCTTCGCTGCGTAGTTTCGAAGAACAATGACTCTCAAGCAGATTTGGATCGCATTACTGATTACTGATTGCCAGCAAACTCCAGGATAAGATTTGTACATTCTGCTGTATTGTTTGACACAGAAGCAATCTGTTTTTCGAGTGGGAGAGGAAAATGGGAGAAGCAAGACAGAAACTCTCAAAAAGTTGTGAAGCAAGACAGAGAATCAAAAACTCAAAAGCTGTACAAGAATCCTTTGGCGTAAATTTTACAACTACTCGACTGGAACATATTTATTAGCCTATGATTCCCTTTCTATCCTTCGATTTTCTTGGGCGTGACGACTCTCTCAGGTCCATCAAATGAGTTCCTGGCATCGATATACGTAGTAGATTCTAACTTTGCTGGATTTTCTCTATGTACCTTTGCTTCTTTATTTGTCGAAATGTCTGCAACTTTATTTACATGATCATCTTCGCCTTCCCCTACACTTTTACCTTCAGGTTTTGCTGTTCTTGGTGTTCCTAGGTCCTGCACACTGCTAAGTGCAGATCCATTATCAGAACATTCGGAGTCGGACAGAGACTCAGATTCAGGAACAACATCTTGCTCTGAAACCGTCGAAGACTCGTCACCCCTTGATTTCCTCGACCCTTTACGTGAAAACGCATGCTTTATCTGTCTTGCAGACTTTTCAGCGTGTTTCAGAATGCTCTTTGCAACATCTTTCATGTGTCCCTTGTGCTGACTGTCTTCAGAACCAACGCTCTCAGCTTTGGGACTTCTCCCTGAGAGAGGCCCCGAAAGACGGTCTTCAACGATGTACCTAACCCCAGAGTCCTTCTTATTTAACGCCTTCAGATTAATCCGAGGAGAACTGATATCCTCTTCCATGTTCTCTGTGTGGTGACACTCTTCCCTTTTCCCATTCCTATGAAACACTAAACCGACTTTCTTCAAGCCCCGACCAACAGAGCTCATCGTGTGCTTCCCTTCCTGATTTTCATCCGGGCTGCTGCTTTCATTCGGCGATGCAGAGGCGGTGGAACGGAGACTGCCAGCAGAAGCATCCTGAGGAACTCCACGTATCTCGTTATCAACGCATCGGCTCTTCCCTTTTCTTGGTTCCCAAATCTGCGAGACTTCAGTTCCTGGTTGATGCACCCAGATTCCAGTCTCTTCTTGTCCTTCGATGTTAATTGGTTCCATATTATCCGGAACCCTTGGAGACTTATCAGATACCACTGACGAGAAAGAACATCTGTTTGCGTCGGAAGCAAAAGAAGCCCACATATCTTCCTTACTTATTGTAACTCCTTCGAACGGGTCGTCGTTACACTGTAAACGAATCAGATGCACATGGGATATAAGACGTAGCAATGATGAAACTCTGTGTTTAGGAAAATGAACAGAATCTGAATCTATACCTTTAATTCGTCTTCAAGTACGGTGATAGCAAGGTGCAGCCTCCCCATCTTGATGTTCTGAAGTGGCAACCACATATCATTTCGTTGCCCGCCTCGAAACTCTGCGATGTTTACTGAACAATCACCGAGGCTGTCATCGCTGAACCGGTCTTTGTCTTGAACTTCAATGTTGAGTATATTTGAAGAGTCCCATGTCAAGATTGGTATCTTGAACTCTTCTTGCCATTTGGGAGCCAATGTTTTCTTTAATATCTTGGTTTTGAATCTGTATGCGCCAAGCTGCCCTTTCACGTAAGGATCAGCTAAACCTGAAAGCATCCAAATCCGAGCAGCTCATAAAAATGCCCTTACTAAACTGGAGGAAACTAACTAGTCACAGTGATGATCTAACCATTTAGATCTGATGGTTTAACCTCAGATGCTTCAACAACTTCGACAAGAGCGTGTGCAACTGGTTCTTTCTCATCAACAAAGAACCACTTTTCTGGAAGCAAACACAAAATGTAATCATATGGACTGATAAAAAGAAGTACAAGATACAAGTTACAGATTCTGAAGGTCCCCTGCAATGGTTACCTCCTGATTGTGGGCTAACAAATTTCTCCATATCAACTACCAGCATATTTGGCTGCAAATTAGACACAAACTTCAATTATCTATCTCCATTGTAGTGACACTGTCGCTTAACAACAACATGAGGGGATAAATCCGGGAAAAAAAGGCGACAAAGCACGAGGAACCTTACCTCAACAAGAGTCTGCTCAAAAGCTACTGACAAGAGTTTATCCTGAAAGGGAAATGAAAATAATGGTGGGAAGTGTTAGAAGAGTAAAAACTCAAAAAGAGCCAGAGGAAAGTCTCTACTTTAATACTTACTAGCCATCCTGCAATCCCTGGAAGCACAGCAACATCAACACTATGAGTGAAGATTGGTTTAACATTCAACTGGAAATAAGGTGGCTCTACAAAACAGACGCGTACACGCCCCAGAAACGGCCATCGACGAAGGAACTTCACTCCAACCAACACCTTCAAGACAAGCGTAACTTCATTCAATAGACCGTGGGAAGTATATGTGTACAGTACGTGGAATTTAACTACAGAAAAAAGCCATTACACCTTTCCTTCCACATGCATTCCTGTTAGATGCAACTTTGTCCATATCCCAAACCCAAGTCTTTTTCTTAGCTTCACTGCGAGTATTGCGCTCATATCATCTGCAGTGAGGAAATTCATTCCAAGTTCCACAACCTGTATACACACTCCAGTATAAGTACTGCTTCCTCGATAGAGATGTCACCATGATATAATCAAAGTTTTGCAACTATACCAAGTGATCATCACCCGTAGATTCCCGCAGCACCCTTATATCAGTCAACAAAGGCGGGTTTCTCCCCAAATACAGATGTTGTATCAGAGCTTGTTTCTGCACAAGACATAATAGACAGAGAGATATCGAAAGGACTCAAAAACATAGTCACATGTAAGAAAAAATCAGAGAAACAGAGTTGAATGGGTTTGTACAGCGGTCCAAGGTCTATATTTCTCCAAGAACCAAGGTATGATCGGACGCAGAATCTTCTGAGACGCGATCTGTTCCATACATATCGGCCATATCTTCTCCACAGCATGATTCAACCACCGCACTGATTCAGAATCAGATAGAACCTAACAAAAAGCTAAAGTCAGCAGCATCTTTCAATTCAAAATTGAGAACCAACCTTTTTTACAACTTAAAACTAATGGGTCCATACTGAAATAAGACGAGCAACCTAATCTCTCATAATTAGAGTTCAAGTTAACCGTTAAAAAGATAGAACATGAACATTGAATCTTTTTCTCCAAGGAAGGATGCAAATACCAAAAAAGTAAATTTACCCGTCTCTGATTAGCTTGTTTCCTCTCTTCAAACTGCAGTTTCCTTCTCAATCTCATCACGTAGCGTTCATGGACCTAAAGAAAAACCCGCCAAATCCACAATCTTTTTTTAACCAAATCCATAAAAATCCAGACTTTAAAACACACAAAGGAAACATGTCAACCAGAGAGAGGGGCAAAAGAAGCAATACCAGGTAGAGATAGACCAGAGCGAGGAAATAGAAAAGGGCGTGTGATCGATTCAAGTAAGAGAGAACCCAAAGGATGATCAACACAATCACCACATGATGGAACACCGAACACTCCATTGTTACACTCCAAAGATTCTTGATTTTCTTAACACAGGGGATCAAACAACAATCTCATGAAACCAAAATCATCAGAACTTCTTCATGACGTGTGTGTTGATTCCTGAAGATCAAAGAAAGCGCCGATCACTGCAGCGAGAGAAACAGAGGAAAACAGATGACTGCAGTTTTTTTATTTTTGTTTGTTTCTTTCTTGTAGAGATTGATTAAGTTAGTGGAGCCAGAGACAGAGACAGAGACACGGGGAGGAAGAAAACATTCGATCTATAAAAAAACTCGTATTGTGGCGATTTCGTCTGTTCTATACGCCAAAACGATGTCGTTTTATGTTTCCGGATAACCGGAAACAAAGATTTGGGGCGAAAACATGTTCTGTGAAAGAGAAACGCGTCAACCGCCTGATTGAGTGCAAGCGTGTCATACACGTGTGAGGAAATAAGACCTACAGAGATCCCAATCTCATTGTTTCAATTGAATTTGGGAATAAGATCCTAACCGTTCATTTATTTATGATAATGGCATTTAATCTGAATCTGATGGATGGCTTACCATCTGATATGTTTCCATTTAATCTGAGATCTGTATGATTATTCCTCTAATATCTACATTTCGGTAATATCCGGCCATTTACATTTTTACAATAATAAACTTAGTATTTATACTAACAATCTTTTCTTTTAAAAAAAATATATTGTTATGTAGGATAAAAATTAATAATTGGAGAAACAACTACACTAATCCTTTTTTATGAAGCCATCTTTTATCTCTCTATATAGAAGCACATATAACGCTTTACAACTTTAATCTGCATATATATTATAGGTTCATAATGATTGATATGCACAGCAGTACATGTGACCTATTCTTTCAATGATTAAAACAGATAAAATGGCTGGAAAATAACAATCAATTAAACAAAATAAATTAAAGAGGAAAATGAAAAAAAAAAACTAAACGTGATTAACGTAACTTATAAATTTTATAGGTGTTTTTTTTAATGAAAAAGAAAACAAGACAGCAACTCTGCCTGGGCAAATTATCCGTTATATTTGATTCGATCCGCTATTTGCTTCGATTCGATTCGAAAAATTTGGATATCCGTAGCTTTACGAAGCAAAGCAAATACTAAATTTTGATATCTGTTAAAAACGGAACAAATCACAAATATTAAAATTCTAAAAGCCGGATATCCGATCCACTCCAATATATATATATGTGTATATATATAATTACATATAGAATGTATAGTTAATATAATTATATGTAAATTTTTGTGAATTTATATTTATTTTATCAGTTATTTTAATACGAAATTTTAATAAATTTTAATAAGAAATAATTTAAAATTTAATATATGAGTTAATTTTTGATTTTTTAATTATTTTTATAAATAATTTTATTTATTTTATAAATATTTTAATTATTTTATAATTAATCTAATATTTTTGAAACGGATTGGATATCCGATAAAAAATTCAGATTTTAACGAATATCTGAATACCGGATATACAATTAATAACGGAGCAAATACAGATAAAAAATTATTGATCCATACATGACAAAGCAGATCATGGATATCATTAAAATTCTGGATATCCGTTCCATACCCAGACATACCTACGATTACGTAAGTTCAAATTATAAGGCAATGTGGTGGAAACCCGAGCAACCGCAGAAACAGCCACGTGGCACGTGCACCCCAAAATACAAATACTTTAAAAGGAGAAAAAAAAAGGAAATCTTGGTTCTCAGTTTTCACCGTCTCATCAGATCAGAACAAATCCAAATCAGAGGAAGATTGTTTTTGTTTATTGATCTGAGAGAGAGGGAGAGATGACGAGTGGCGTAGAAGACGACAAAAACAGATCAGTGGCGACGGATCATCAACACCAGCAGCCTCATCCTCCTCCGTTTCAAGGCGTCTCCAACTATCCACCTCCGCCGCAGCAGCAGCAGCCGCCGGCCGGCGGTTTTCCACAGCCGGCTCAGCCCTACGTCTCAGGTGAGTTTCTTTCTCATGCTCTCTTTATATGAACAAATGTGAAATGATAGATCAGCTGTTTTTTTTTTTTTCGACATTTTTGTTGTCGGTATATAAAAAAGCTTCATTTTTCTTGATCTATATATTGAAGATCCTTTTAATAATTTTGATTTTGGATATTTGATTTTTGCTTGACGCCAATAATTAAGCTGCTGAAATTAGCACAGGATTACACTTTCAGTCTTGAAATTTTCGTGTGATCCTTTGTAGTATTAAAAAAATAAATTGAGAACCCTTTGTAGTATTGCCTCTGTTATATTCACTTGAGAACGAGAAGATGAAATTGATGTTAATAATTTTTTATTCAGAAAATATTTTAAATTTTCTTTTCTGACGACAAGTTTACCAAAGTATAGTTTGTCAGAAAAGGGTTGTGTGCCATTATTGCGACGCAGCACTTGGCTGTTCTAACGCTCGGTCCGGTTTCTCTTAGGTTATGCTGTTAATGGAGGAATGCATTCAACAGAACACCATCGTCTTCCTTGTTGTGGTATAGGCATTGGCTGGTTATTGTAAGTCTTATTCTTTTCTTTTTTTACCTTCTCTTCTCATCATTTATGTTCTTGTCAAGCTCTGAGCAACACACAAATTAACTCACGTATATGTGTTTCCTCTTGGTTTATGTTTCTTGAAGATTCATCCTTGGTTTCTTCTTCGGTGCTATCCCCTGGTACATCGGATTCTTCCTTTTACTATTCTCTAGAAACCGTCGTGAGAGACCAGGATATATGGCTTGTGCAATTGGAGTGAGTTTCATCTTCTATATCTCTCTCTCTTATTTCATCAATGTCCCTGATCAAATCAAATGAATTCTGGTTTCTGACTAACACATGATTGTCACAGGCTGTTATCGCTACGATTCTCATCGTTTTTGGAGCCATAAGAGGATCAGGAGTCTGGTCGTAAAGTGAAGATGTAACGCTCTAAATCCGGTATAGACCGGTTAGGCCGTTGAATACTGTTGTATAATTAAGAAGATTGTACATGTGTGTTTACTTAAAAGAGCTCATTGTATATTGCTTGAAGATTACAGTGCTCAATGAAAATTGTTCAAAACCATATAGCACAATGTGTGTTTATTATTGAAATATATTTTTTCTATATATGCATTCGTTTTCGATCCATCAATATTATGAATGTTTATTGAATTTACCTGTACGTGTTACGTAAATTTTGGAAATTAAAAATTGTATGGTTTTTTCTATTCTATGGTGTATTAGTTTTGTTCATGTTACAAATATTGTGAGAACGATTAGAAAATATTATGCCAAGATTTAATTTCTTTTCTTGTTAAAGTTGTACAATTAATTTTGTATTACGTTTGACGACTGCAAATGAAGTTTATAATGAACAAATGGACATTATTCAAGGCCCACGTAGAAAAATAAAAGCCCACAGAGACGTGTATCTTCTTCGTCTAGGGTTTGTCCTTTTAAAGTTTTCTCATCAGCGCCACCGTTTAGCTCTTGCTCTCTGTTTCCTTGTGGCTGAATTCGTTGGAGCTTGATCTCTCCGTTGAAAATGGTTGCTTTCCGGGTAAGTTGATTCATTTTATCGTAGAGAAACCTGAGTGACGAGTGATTAAGGGTGTTGATCCTTCTCCATTGATTTTGAGCTGTATCGAAGATTGGTTTCGTTAGTTATGAACTGGATTCGATCGAGGACAATATATCGTAGGGATATTGAGAAAATTTTGAAACTTTATTATCGAGATACTCTTTTTCCTCAGCATACTTATAAATTTATTTGATCTTCAAGTTTTATTGATTAGTTTCGAATCTCTAGGATGATTTTGCTTGCTTGTTAGCTCCGATTTTTATCCGTTTGAACCTTTTTCGAGCTTCATTGGTTATCCTTGATTTGTGACGGAGAGTGGTATTAGATTTGATTTTCAATGTTGATTGTCTGTTTTGAGCATTTGCAAAAACGTGACCTTTGTTGTGTGTTGCAATGGATTTGATTCATTGAACTCTGGTTTCGTTGAGCAGTTTCACCAGTATCAAGTGGTAGGGAGAGCCCTCCCGACGGAGAAAGATGAGCAGCCTAAGATCTACCGGATGAAGCTATGGGCCACAAATGAAGTTCGCGCCAAGTCCAAGTTTTGGTGAGCCATGCAATGCCCTCTCTTGCGCCAGATTTGTGAATGGCAATAAACTACTTTTTCCCGGATCGTAAATGCATTTGCTTGCTTGTATCTATAGGTACTTCCTCAGGAAACTGAAGAAGGTCAAGAAAAGCAACGGACAAATGCTTGCCATCAATGAGGTATATAGATTGCATTTTCGCGGTTCATTTTCTTGCAAACCGTTGCTGCTGTGGAAGATGACTTACTTGATGTGTGTATGATAATTGTGTTTGTTCAAACTCTTGGTAGATTTTCGAGAAGAACCCCACGACGATCAAGAACTTCGGTATCTGGCTGCGTTACCAGAGCCGAACTGGGTACCACAACATGTACAAGGAGTTCCGTGACACCACGCTCAATGGTGCAGTGGAGCAGATGTACACCGAGATGGCTTCTCGCCATAGAGTGAGGTTCCCTTGCATTCAGATCATCAAGACCGCCACTGTCCCCGCGAGTCTGTGCAAGAGAGAGAGCACCAAGCAGTTCCATAACTCGAAGATCAAGTTCCCTCTTGTTTTCAGGAAGGTCAGGCCACCAACCAGGAAGCTCAAGACTACGTACAAGGCCTCTAAGCCCAACCTTTTCATGTAATACAAGGCTTCTTGTTCCTCACTCTGAACAAAACACACCATTTCGAGTTCCCTTGTCTTGGATTTTTTTTTTTGTAGTTTTTTGCATCTTTTGAAAACTTCCAGCTGACTCTGGCAAAATTTCCATCAATTTTCAAAGTTTTGATCCGTCAAAACGAATGTTGCCTTCAAGTTTTATCACAAGTCAAATCTGCTTTAGATGCAAACCCATCATCACTTGACCAGTAACAACAACACTTCATCCTTGCAACTGTTTTTCTCCGTGGAGCTCTCGGCGTCTGGTACAAACGCGCTTAACCTTCACCTGCTAAAGCGTTAAAGAGCACTTCTTCTATTGATGACGCTTAGTGGATCTCTTTTGGAAGATTTATTGATTAAAAAATTTGCAATCAGATAAGAAGAGATGGAAAACCCTTACACGACAAGCACAGACAAAGCCCCTTTGGCGGCAAAGGATTTGCACTGTAAATTGTACAATCGAAACTCGAAAAAGGTCTCAACTTGCGGAATCTAGAGTGAGTGAGAGAAGAGTCGAAGATGTCTTTTTCAGTAGTAGCAGCTCTAGTGGTTGTAGTCGTAGCAGTCGTGCTCCTGTGGACATGGCGGATCGTGAAATGGGTCTGGATAGAACCCAAGATGCTGGAGAGTTGCCTGAGAAGACAGGGTCTCGCCGGAACTCCTTACACGCCTCTCGTCGGAGATATCAAGAGGAACGTTAATATGTTGATGGAGTCGAGATCTAAACCCATCAGTATAACGGATGATATCACCCCACGTCTCCTTCCTCTCGCCTTAAAGATGTTCAGTTCTCACGGTATTTTCGATTTCCTCTTGGAACTTGAGAGATCCCGAGGACGGATTTTCTGATTTAGAAGTGAGCTGTGCAGAGTTTGGGGTTGACTTTATTGAGCTGTGTTGTTTGGAACAGGAAAGACTTTCTTTATATGGATCGGTCCAGTTCCAGCGATCATGATAACGAATCCAGAGCAGATCAAGGAAGTCTTTAATAAAGTTTACGACTTTGAGAAGGCTGCTACGTTCCCTTTGGTCAGACTGTTAGCAGGCGGGCTCGCCAGTTATAAGGGAGATAAATGGGCGAATCACAGGAGGATCATCAACCCGGCTTTTCACCTCGAGAAGATCAAGGTTTCGGGTTTTCTCTCTTTTCTTGAGTTTCTGAATCAAATTAGACTGTATAAGTGTGTGTGTGTGTGTGTGTGTGTGTGTGAGATCTTTTAGAGACCTATTTTTTGTGGGTTTACAGAACATGGTCCCTGCGTTCTACCATTGCTGCAGGGAGGTTGTCTGCCAATGGGAGAAGCTCTTTACGAATAAAGAATCGTCTTGTGAGGTCGATGTTTGGCCTTGGCTTGTGAATTTGACTGCGGATGTGATCTCACATACTGCTTTTGGAAGCAGCTATAAAGAAGGGCAGAGGATATTCCAACTCCAAGGGGAGCTAGCTGAGCTCATCGCACAAGCTTTTAAGAAATCTTACATCCCTGGATTGAGGTTATTGATCATCCCATTGTGTCCGTAAACTAAAACTTGAAGATTGTGAGAGGTACTGAGAGTTTGGTTGTTTGGTGTAGGTTTTACCCAACAAAGAGCAATAGAAGGATGAAAGCAATAGACAGAGAAATAGATTTGATACTGAGAGGTATTGTGAGCAAGCGAGAGAATGCGAGAGAAGCAGCAGCAGCGAACGATGATTTGTTGGGGATACTTCTTGAATCAAACTCTGAGGAATCTCAAAGATATGGAATGAGCGTAGAAGAAGTGATGCAAGAGTGCAAGCTGTTTTATTTTGCGGGACAAGAGACGACTTCAGTACTGTTGGTCTGGACCATGGTTTTATTAAGTCATCACCAAGACTGGCAAGCTCGAGCTCGAGAGGAAGTGAGGCAAATACTCGGTGATAATAATAGACCGGACATAGATTCTCTCAGCAGCCTCAAAGTCGTAAGTAAAAATCACGGCTTTCACATCTAAAACTGCATATATACTTATATAGTTACCAGATTCACATGAATTTGATATTTTCAACAGATGACTATGATCTTTAATGAGGTCTTGAGGCTATATCCTCCGGTTGCTCAGCTGAAAAGAGCAGTCAACAAAGAGATGAAGCTAGGAGAGCTTACCCTTCCAGCTGGAGTTCACGTTTATATACCAACTGCTCTTGTCCATCGCGACCCCGAGCTTTGGGGCGATGATGCAGCGGATTTTAAGCCGGAGAGGTTCAAAGACGGTGTCTCAAAGGCAACAAAGAACCAGGTCTGCTTCTTCCCCTTTGGATGGGGACCGAGGATCTGCATCGGTCAGAGTTTTGCTCTGTTGGAGGCAAAGATGGCAATGGCATTGATTCTGCAGAGATTCTCCTTCGAGCTCTCTCCTTCCTATGTTCATGCGCCTCAAACGGTCATGACCACTCGTCCTCAGTTCGGAGCTCATCTCATCCTGCACAAGCTCTGATTTTTGTGTATTTCCATGGTGAGATGTCATCAGTTGTCTCTGTTATATTAACTGAAACATGTCTTGGAAAGACTTACTATACCTGTAGAAGATTATGAAGATTTCAACTTATGTTTGTGTGAAAGTGGTATGTACATCTAGTATTTCTTAGGGAGATAAATTTGTGGTCAATACTTGTCTATAGGCTCTTGTCTTTACAACATAGTTGAAGAGAGGGTAATGTTAATTTCCCATTGTAGCTCCATTATTGATCATGAAAAGTCTATTATACGAAGCCAAGTTAAACTCAACCATCTTTTGGATGTGCTTTAGAAAAGCCAGTTGCTTTTTTGTTCTTTTGCAAGCCATGGGCCATAGAGAAAGAAAAACATGAAAAAGTGTTTTATGTAGAAAATCAGAATCTAGAACGCTCGTTGGACTTACCTCAGCCTCAACGTCATTGGCTTGACGCATACGCATATAATAAACAACTTGGTTATATTATATATACATAGCATTTTCATCCTGCAACTTCAGTTCATCATCTAACGATTTCTCAAAGTAGTGCGTTTATGAGTGAAACAGAGATACCAGCAGTGGCGGTTGCGGCTGCGATTGTGGTGGTAACTGCGGTTGCGGTATGGATATGGAAAGGCCTGAATCTGGCTTGGCGTATACCGAAGAAACATGAGGCTTATCTAAAGAGACAAGGTCTCTCTGGAACTCCTTTCACCTTTCTTGTCGGAGACGCTAGAAGGGAAGCCAGTATGGTGGAGCAAGCAAAGTCCAGAGCCATAAAACTAACCGACGATTACACGCCACGTGTCATGCCTCTGATATTACAGACCGTTAAGGATCATGGTAAGCAACGGTTTGGTACGAAACTCAAAACAGAGAGATCCCCTGTTTTTTCTTCTAATGTTGAAATACTCTGTTTCTCTATGGTTTGGGTCTTTTGTCTAGGGAAGACATCTTACATGTGGACGGGACCCATAGCGAGTGTGATTGTGACGAAACCAGAACACATCAAAGAAGTTCTAAACAGAGTTGATGATTTCCCGAAGCCGCCATTGCACCCAATCGTTGAGCTTTTTGCGACTGGAGTCGCGGTGTATGGAGGAGAGAAATGGTCTAAGCACAGGAAGATTATAAACCCTTCTTTTCATCTAGAAAAGCTCAAGGTCATTTCTTACACCAAATTCTCACATTTGTTATATTATATTGTATGCTGATTTTTTTTTTTGCGTTTTTGTTTCATTTGTAGATTATGATACCTGCGTTCTACGAGAGCTGCAGCGAGATGATAAGTAAATGGGAGAGATTGGTTGGTGAGGAAGGATCATCGTTGAATGAGATCGATGTTTGGCCATACCTTAGCGATGTAACCTCAGATGTAATCTCGCGTACTGCGTTTGGTAGTAGCTACGAGGAAGGTAAGAGGATCTTTTTGCTTCAAGAAGAACAAGGCCGGCGAGTTTTAAAAGCTTTTGAGATGGCTTTCATCCCTGGAATGAGGTAAATGATAATTATTTTTTTGTATTACTTGAAATATGGAAAAGACTATATATAGTGTTGTTCTTCATTGCTTAGGTTTCTACCGACAAAGAACAACGTGAGGATGAAGCAGATAGACAGAGAAGTGAAGTCTAGACTGAGAGAGATCATCATGAAGAGACAGAGAGCTATGGAAGCAGGAGAGGCTCCAAAGAATGATCTGTTGGGAATACTACTTGAATCGAATTCTTCTGGAGATAACGGGATGAGTACCAAAGATGTGATAGAAGAGTGCAGGCTGTTTCACTTTGCGGGCCAAGAAACCACTGCGAATCTTCTCGTGTGGACAATGATTATGCTGAGCTATCACCAGAAATGGCAAGATCAAGCTAGAGAAGAGATCTTCCAAGTCATTGGAAAGAACAACAAACCTAACTTTGATGCACTCTCTCGCCTCAAAATAGTAAGTAAAAACATGAATCCTGTGTATTTCCGTTTTTCCAAAACCAAAACTCAGACTAAAACGATTCCTTGTTTCTTACAGATGAGCATGATCTTGAACGAGGTGTTGAGGCTATACCCACCAGGGATTCTACTTGGTCGAACCATAGAGAAAGAAACAAAGCTTGGTGAGGACATGACGCTTCCAGGTGGTGCACAAGTAGTGATTCCTGTGCTTATGGTTCATCGTGATCCCGAGCTCTGGGGAGAAGATGCTCATGAGTTTAAACCCGAGAGATTCGCAGATGGGATCGCAAAGGCCACGAAGAACCAAGTCTCGTTTCTTCCGTTTGGATGGGGACCAAGATTCTGTCCTGGCCAGAATTTCGCTCTCATGGAAGCTAAGATGGCTCTTGTCTTGATTCTGCGGAGATTCTCCTTCGAGCTGTCTCCATCCTACACTCACGCACCTCACACCGTTCTTACGCTTCATCCTCAGTTTGGTGCTCCCTTGATCTTCCACATGCTCTGATATCCCTAATTCGAAGATCCTCTGTATTTTATTTTTTAAGATTCAAGATTCAGTAGCATGTGAATTCATGGGAACTCATGTGAATTCTTCTACTACGAAATTCTCATGACTTTCAATTTTTCCAGAATTTTCGGTAACTTTTTTTTCTTAATAAGAAAATCGTATCGAAGGTTGGAGTTGGACCTTTTAAAAGTCCAAAACGGATTCTACATTTGGGCCTAAATAGTCTACTGAGGCCCATATGTTCTTTCCCTTGCGTAATCCATAATTCCTCCTCAACTGTATTTCTTCTATAATTCTATTCTACAAAGACCATAATTTGGGCCTTTAATATGGTGCCCAATAATATTCAATTTTAATAAAGTTTGCAATTTTCTTCCAAAATGACAAAGACAAGTCCCTTACATTATTTATCTCACAAGAAATAAAACAATTTGTTGGAAATTTAGGTTATTATGCAACAAGGCGCTATCGTTACATATAGTTCCTGTTTACGTTGTGTCACTTTTGTATCCCATGCCTATTTGTATTATTGCACCATCGATTCGAATTTTATGTACATAACCAGACTCCTTTCACGCCTGTTTCCCATACGTAATAGGCACGTGAACGATTCTGATAGATACCATCTCGCTTATCGATTATTCTTAGAACCTTCCTCGGTCTTTGATTGGTCGGCGTCGCATATATCAAAAGGCAGAGATTGTACGATCATCCAGAAAAATGCTTGTCTCGTGTACCGCAAGAACATGTCGTTGAATCGGCGGATGGGTTCTTGTGGCCGTACAAGTACAAGTGTAGATTTAGTGTTAGTGTGATAGATCTTAGAAACAAATTAAGCAGAATTCCAAATTTTCACTGACACCAAAATCCTCCATTAGTACTAAAAAGCAAAACAAGTTCTCATAATGTGGTGGATCCAGAAGCAGAAACTTAATTACAAGAGAGTTAGGACAAACAAAAAGGCTCAGGAAGATAGGGTTTGAAGAGCCTTTCTCCGTTATAAGCTGCCTCTCTCGAGCATTATCAAAAGTGTGAACACATTATTGCCCTTTTTTGGCTTTTCCGAAATAAGATATTTTAGGGCCAGAACTCACTCAACAGTATACTTTTATCGTACTTAATTATCCTTCGAGCTAGCTAGTGTTACATGATAGGAATAAAGACTTGATCAAACTCACGTTACCCGGTTGAGAATATATCCGAGTAAAGAGACAATACTATTGTGGATAAGTTTGGACTATGCCTCATGACTTATCGACAAGTGACTACCTCCTCAAGAGAAAAATACATGACAGATTATTGCTTTTCACTCTCTAACCAGTAAGAAGCCATTCAAAGTGACCACGAACAGTGACATTGTAGTCCCGGCAACAACTTTTCCAAATCAAAACTGGTTTACAAAAAGAACAAACAAAAATACTTCTGAGCAAAGCTCACCATATAAACTTATGCCCCAGGTGTATTTAGATATTACAAATAATAAAATGAAAGATATTTATTTTATTTTTTCGTTTTCCACTAACGAACTTCATTTATCAATTATTATTAATACATTACATGCATCAACTATTTACATGAAATATATATATTATGTTTTTCATGGAATGTTGGCCCTGGTTGGTTGATGTTGTAGTTTTAGGTTTTTTTACGATAAAATTTAAGGCTGCAAGTTTTTTAGTTTATCCTAAGTAAAATGAATAAAGGATTTAAGGCATGGAAGACAGATGTGGCCAGAGGTCGTGAGTAAAGGCAAAATTTCGACGGTTACAAGAAAATATTTTGGCTGTAACTAGATTGTAGTTTCTAAGAATGAATTCATGTGGAATTAAAAATTCCATAAAATTCTACAAAATTATTACCAGTTACAAGGAAAGAAAATGAAAAAATCATTCCACTTATTCAATTTAATCCACAAAGAAAGAAAAAAACAAACCTTTCTGAAAACATTACTCCTATTAAAAAATGCTAAGGAAGGAAAGCAATCACCATCCATCCGCCCTCTTGATTATCTGTTCACTGCGGGACGTAATCTAAATTGCGCATCAGAGAATTTTCGGGAGGAAACCTATTTCCGGTCTCCCAAAGGCCCGATTCACCTACTGCGAATGTTTGCAGGACCCAAAAAATTTCTCATCTAGGGAGTATATACCGCTCAATCCTCGATGCCTAATCTAAGAGGCTCAGTTGTACTACTCGGACGAACACACACATTCCCGTAAAAAATCTGTAATTTTCTCACAAACAATATTACTTCACAAATATAATAATTGAGTTTTTTTATATCATATATATATAGTTGTATAAAGCTATATTTTTTATATTTTAGTTTATGGTATCAATTAATTTATAACACTATATACTATTTTTGGAGAGATCTATCAAACATAATGATGATTTTCTTTTAATAATTATTATTTTTTTATTTTATTTTTAAAATACCATCAAATAAGACTATTATACATATTATGCAAATAATAGCTTATTTTCTTTCTTTTTATATTTTTTTATCGTCAAATTACAACTATATCTTATTTTTAAATAAATATATGTCTGTTATGTAAATAATTCATTTATCATCAAAGTTTCACGAGCATTATCAATTTTTATTTTTTTTTTGCTAAAAATTGCTTTGAAAAATCTTTTTTTTCGTTTTTCACAATAAAAAGAAGTAGTTTTCTCTGGTTTCTTTATATCTTAAATTATTTTTAGCTAAAATTCAATTAAGTTTTATTATTTAAAATCATAAATAAATAGATGTTTCATATTACATAAATTACAGTTTTATATCTAACTAATGAAATTTATTTAATGATAATTATTTATTGGATTGTTTTAATTTTAGTTAGCCACTTGTCACTTCTAAATTAATTTAAAATACTGATGTGTTAAGATGCTGGAGAGAGTTATTCCCTATTCATATATATATATATATATATGATTATTACCAGTTACAGTTTATTGTCTGAACACACACAAATTGGGCAAGTATTTAAAGTCATATCACCACATGTATCTCCTCATCCAAATTCTCAAACTTTAGAGACCAGAAATAAATTAGCAGATGGAGATATCAGTTGCATCATTGGCTATAGCGGTTGTACTGTGGTGGATATGGAGAACTGTGGAATGGGTTTGGCTAAAACCTAAGATGCTTGAGAGTTTTCTGAGAAGACAAGGTCTTGTCGGAACTAGTTACACGCCTCTTGTCGGAGATGTGAGAAGGACTTTCAGGATGTTGAAGGAAGCAAGATCTAAACCGACGAAACCAACGGATGATCTTATTTCACTTGTCATGCCTTACTCATTTCACATGCTCAACACATACGGTATACATATGTCTCTTGGTTTGGCTTATATAATAGATTTTGAATTCCTTTTTTAAAATCAGTTTTTTTTATATATATGTGGCTGCAACAGGAAGGACTTTTTTCACATGGTTAGGACCCATACCATCCATCACAATAATGAATCCACAGCTGATCAAAGAAGTGTATAATAAAGTTTATGATTTCCCCAAGACGCACACGTTTCCTTTGGTTGCATTGATAGCTGATGGACTCGCTAATGCTGATGGAGGTAAATGGGCCAAACACCGGAAGATCATTAACCCAGCATTCCATTTTGAGAAGATCAAGGTTTCCATCAGATTCACTTTTCTAATGTTGTTGTCACAACCAAAGCTAATTTTCTTTTTGGCTAAATATGAGTTGATCATGTTCCTTTTTTATATAGAATATGGTCCCTGCGTTTCATAAAAGTTCCAGCGAGGTTGTGTGCGAGTGGGAGAAGTTAGTTTCAGAGAAAGGGTCGTCGTGTGAGGTTGATGTTTGGCCATGGATTTTGAATTTGACCGGGGATGTGATCTCTCGTACCGCTTTTGGTAGCAGCTACAAACAAGGAAAGAGGATATTTATACTACAAGATGAGCTAGCAAAGCTCATCATCCAAGCTCTTGGGAAGAACTACATCCCTGGATATCGGTAAGAAACTAGCATGACTTATCGGTTTTCTAACAATCTTCTTATGTATTTATCTTGGAAAATCTCCCTTTTTGGACCTGATACATCTATCTACTACTATGAAAAAATTGACGAGTTTTAATTCAAAACCAATAGAAAATGAGGATATATATAGTGCGTTCATGGCTCGTATATATATATATTATGTCTCAATGCGGAATTGTGAATGTTATTATTCATTTTTGTTTGATATTGCGTAGGTATTTCCCAACAAAGAATAATAAAAGGATAAAGACAATAGTTAGAGAAATCCAAGTTATACTAAAAGGGATCATTAGCAATAGGAAAAAGGCGAGAGACGCTGGCGAAGCACCAAGTGACGATGTGTTGGATCTACTTCTTGAATCGAATTCAGGGCAAACTAAAGAAAATGGACTGACCACTGAAGAAATTATGGAAGAGTGCAAGTTGTTTTATTTCGCGGGACAAGAGACCACTTCAGTGCTTTTGGCTTGGACTATGGTTTTGTTAAGCCAACACCAAGACTGGCAAGCTCGTGCACGAGAGGAAGTGATGCAAGTTTTCGGCGATAGAGAACCTGATCAAGAAGGCCTTAACCAACTCAAAGTTGTAAGAATAAAACCAAAACCAAAAACCTTTTTCATATGAGTTTATGCTTTCTTTTATTGGCTTTTTGCATGGGGGTATATAAATCAAGTGCTACAAAACAATAAGAAGTTGAAAAAGCGCAAGCTACTCTTATTCTATAACATTTTTGATGATTTTGTTGAATATATCTTTCAGATGACGATGATTTTTTATGAGGTCCTTAGGCTATATCCTCCACTCATCCAGATGAACCGAGCGATCCACAAAGAGATAAGACTAGGTGATTTGACACTACCGGCCGGTAGTCAAGTCAATATGCCTGTTCTGCTAATCCATCGGGACACTAAGCTTTGGGGAGATGATGCAGCGGAGTTCAAGCCGGAGAGGTTCAAAGACGGTGTCTCGAAGGCAACAAAGAACCAGGTCTGCTTCTTTCCTTTCGGATGGGGACCGAGGATTTGCATCGGCCAGAATTTTGCTCTGTTGGAGGCAAAGATGGCTCTGGCTTTGATTCTGCGGAGATTCTCCTTCGAGCTTTCTCCTTCTTATGTGCATGCGCCTTACACAGTCATCACTATTCATCCACAGTTTGGTGCTCACCTTATCCTAAACAAGCTCTGAACTTCTGATATTATCAAAATGAACTTATTATTATACACAAGAGGAAAGAGATTTCATAGTCAAGAATCCCTGATGGACTATTGCAATCGTACTTTAAAGTTTTCCTATATGTCTTTTATTATAAATCAAGTTTTATTATAAAAGAACAATAATTATAATTTTTTTTCTCCACTAAATTTTATTGTAAAAGAATAACTAATTAGTTGTAAATACCATAGAAAATATTTTAAAACTTATATCATGAAGTAAGATATGTATATTTATTTACAATATAAATTTTCTATTGAACAGAATCCAGTAAATTTTCATTTAAATATATTGATTGATAATTTTATATATAATGTTGACACCATAAGAAAAAATCCATATATAATATAAATTAAATTTAACTTCAAAGGGAAAAAAAAATTATAGAACATAAAAAATGAAAGTGTCAGAATTTCACGTTTGTTAAACTATTTAATTTCGATTCTGAATTTCACGTTTTCTATATTTTATTTTTGTTTGTTAAAACGCATGAAAAGTGACAAAAAAAAACATATTATTTCAACGTTATGGTAGAAAGAGTACGCATGCATAATTGACAAAAAAAAAAGACGTAAAATAATTGACGTTCGTGCCTGTCCGCCCACACAAGATATACGGCCAATAGATTCCCTTTATCTGTATACAGCTTTTGTCACAGAAATCGAAATTTGCTTCTCGCATCTACGTGGCATACTTAGCCAAAAAGATATCTACGTGGCATGTGAGAAGCTTCAAGTAAATCAAAGGTTCACAATCCGAAGATTCCGAACACACAAAAAATATAAGGTCTTTAAGACATCATGTGATATTTTCATTTGACATTCTCATTCTTCAAAAATATCAAGAATATTAGCAAATCTCTCTTATCCCCTTCCTCTGGGACAGAAAATGGAGATATCTGTTGCGTTAGTTACAGTTTCAGTGGCTATAGCCGTTGTGTCGTGGTGGGTATGGAGAACCTTAAAGTGGGTTTGGTTTAAACCAAAGATGCTTGAGAGTTACCTGAGAAGACAAGGTCTTTCCGGTACTCCCTACACGCCACTCGTCGGCGATCTGAAGAGGAATTTCAGCATGTTGGCGGAGGCAAGATCCAAACCCATCAAACTAACGGATGACATCGCAACAAGGATCACGCCTTTTCCCTTGCAAATGCTCAAGACTCACGGTATGTGTCCTCTCTGTTTAGGAAATTAGAATGAAGGTGTTGCAGAGTATATCCGATCAAGAAAAGGTCTCACGTTCTGTATATGTATGCTGCTTGGAACAGGAAGGACTTTCTTTACATGGTTTGGAACAACACCAACGATCACGATAATGGATCCTGAGCAGATTAAGGAAGCGTTCAACAAAATTTATGATTTCCAGAAGCCGCATACATTCCCTTTGGGCAAGGTGATAGCCACTGGACTCGCTAATTATGATGGTGAGAAATGGGCAAAACACAGAAGAATCATAAACCCGGCTTTCCACCTTGAGAAGATCAAGGTTTGGCTTCTTACTTCATCATCAAGTTATAGTGCTTTATGTATGTATGTATGTATGTTCATTTGGATCTGACCCAATACATGTCTTCTGCTTATATGTGTAGAAAATGGTACCAGCGTTCCACCAAAGCTGCAGCGAGGTTGTTGGCGAATGGGACAAGTTAGTGTCGGAGAAAGGGTCTTCCTGTGAGGTGGACGTTTGGCCTGGGCTTGTGACTATAACTGCAGATGTGATCTCTCGTACTGCTTTCGGAAGCAGCTACAAAGAAGGGCAGAGGATATTCGAGCTCCAAGCAGAACTAGCTCAGCTCATCATACAATCTTTTCTGAAATCTTTCATCCCTGGATATCTGTAATAAAAAAGCCTTAAACCTGTCTGCTTAATACAAGACTCAATCTATTGGAGATGAGAATCATCTTGTCTCATATTCTCTGTTTTTGTTTGTTTTTGCGTAGTTATCTCCCAACGAAGAGTAACAGAAGGATGAAAGCAGCAGCAAGAGAAATCCAAGTTATACTGAGAGGTATCGTTAACAAAAGGTTAAGGGCAAGAGAAGCTGGAGAAGCACCAAGCGACGATTTGTTAGGTATACTTCTTGAATCGAATCTGGGGCAAGCCAAAGGAACTGAAATGAGCACTGAGGATGTAATGGAAGAGTGCAAGTTGTTCTATTTCGCCGGGCAAGAAACAACTTCAGTACTTCTGGTCTGGACGATGGTTCTGTTAAGCCAACACCAAGAGTGGCAAGCACGCGCCCGAGAAGAAGTGAAGCAAGTTTTTGAGGATAAAGAACCTGATACAGATGGCCTGAACCAGCTCAAAGTGGTAAGTATTAACCGAATCATAAACCTGACTTTGAGTACTTTTGTTTGTGTTTTGTTGATTTTTTTGCTAAAAAAGATTTGACTTCTCACAGATGACGATGATACTATATGAGGTCCTTAGGCTGTACCCTCCAGTAGCTCAGCTGAACAGAGCCATTCACAAGGAGATGAAGTTAGGCGACCTGACGCTACCAGGCGGCGTTCAAATCAATCTACCTATTCTGCTAGTCCAACATGACACCAAGCTATGGGGAAACGATGCAGCGGAGTTCAAACCAGAGAGGTTCAAAGACGGTATCTCAAAGGCAACAAAGAGCCAAGTCTGCTTCTTTCCCTTTGGCTGGGGACCGAGGATCTGCATTGGTCAGAATTTTGCAATTTTGGAGGCAAAGATGGCGATGGCTTTGATTCTGCAGAGATTCTCCTTTGAGCTTTCTCCTTCTTATGTTCATGCCCCTTACACGGTCGTCACCCTTCACCCACAGTTCGGTGCGCATCTTATCCTCCACAAGCTCTAACCCAATGCTATGTTTCCCAATGAACTTATCATACACAGAGGAAACGGGACCAGATCATTACACAAGTCTCAGTCTTGTTATATATATTCATGTCAGAACATCGTGTCGTACAGAATAAAACCCTTTTGAGTAGTGTCTCTCTCTGTTATGAAACTTAAACCCAACATGAGGGACCAAACAAGTAGTACGTACCTATCAAACACTGCCATGTTTATGAATTCCATTTTTTTTGCTTTTCGAGTTAGAATTCGTGGCTATAATAAGACTTACAGGTTTATACAACTTTTGAGCTAGCAGTGAACAAATCTCTATTTAGTTTGCTAGCTATAAGACTTACAGATTTACAGATTTATTTATACACGAGACGAGAGAATTAACGTGCAAAACACAACTGAAACTTCCACCAATATTTACTTCACTTTTTCACTTTTTCAGGCATATATCATCCTATCATTTCCAAACGAGAGCTAGTGTTGCTTTGGGAATACGTAACGGTAAAAGAAGATTTGAATTGTAGTGGTCTAATTAAGCTAGATTAAGAAAATGAGTCTATAATTAAGTTTTTTAGAAATTGAACTTAAATTAGCATTTCAATAGAAAAATTTAAAGAGTTAATAAAAAAATTGCACGTTTTAAAAAAAATATATAAATAATTTTAATGCAACGTGAATGACAAATTCATTAAATTTGCTCTATCATATTTTGCCACCACATTTCATGGAATCCATTAATTTATGTTTCAGCATGTTGAATGTTTTCAATAGAATTTAATTCTCAAATAATTTAACAACTTCGTTATAGGAATTAAACTGTTGAATAATTTTATTCAACACTCCATTATGGGTAGTCTTATCAACTTTAATATAATCAATATCACATATATTAAAATTAATCTAGATAAATAACTCTAAATTCAACTGAGAAGTTTTTAAGAGTTTGACCAGATGTAAAAGGGATCAAATACAACGTACCATTTTTATTTCGTGGCAAAACAATATATTTCAACGCTATTTTGGTAAAAAAAAAATATATTTCAACCTTATTATTATGGTAAAAAATCAGAGTAAACTGTATGGATTGGCAAAGACACGCCTGGCCACTCAATTTTTGACAAATGTGATTCTTCCTTTTTTTGTTTTTTTTTTCACACAAATTCAAATTGACTTCATCTACTAGTTTAACAAAACAATTGACCAAGACACAAAAATAGAAAGTATTTAGGACTTCAAACTAAAGTATTTAAGACATCAGGGTGAATGTCATCACCACATCAATCTTCTCCGAGATTCTCAATCTTTAAATACCCCGAGAAGGTTGCAGATTATCCAACTCTCTCTCTCTCTCTGGAAGAGAAAATGGAGATATCACTTGCATCGGTGACAGTTGCAATAGCTATAGCTGTTGTATCGTGGTGGACATGGAGAACTCTAAAGTGGGTTTGGTTTAAACCAAAGATGATCGAGAGTTACCTGAGAAGACAAGGTCTTTCCGGTACTCCTTACACGCCTCTTGTCGGCGACCTGAAGAGGAATTCCAGCATGTTGGCGGAGGCAAGATCAAAACCCATCAAACTAACAGATGATATCCAACAACGTGTCGTGCCTTTCCCCTTGCACATGCTCAAGACTTACGGTATGTTTTTCCTGGTTAGCTTATAGCTCTTGACTCCTCTCTGTTTAATTTAGAGATATAGAGAACAGCAAAACTGTTGCAGAGTAGTACCTGTATCTTGACAAAGGTTTCAACTTTTGTATCTCTCTGTGGTTGGAGCAGGGAGGACATTCTTTACATGGTTTGGGCATATACCAACCGTCACTATAATGGATCCTGAGCAGATCAAGGAAGTGTTGAACAAAGTTTATGATTTCCAGAAGAGTCCTGCATTCCCTTTGGGCAGATTGATAGCCGCTGGACTCGTTAGTGATAATGGCGAAAAATGGGCGAAACACCGAAGAATCATCAATCCGGCTTTCCATCTTGAGAAGATCAAGGTTTTCACTTCTTCTTCTTCACATCCCCGAATCAGGTTTAGGTTTGGTTTGGTTTGTGTATCATTTGTTCTTGGCCAATCTTGTGAATTCTGCTTCTGTGTATAGATTATGGTACCTGCTTTCCACCAGAGCTGCAGCGAAGTTGTTGGCGAATGGGACAAGTTAGTGTCGGAGAAAGGGTCTTCCTGTGAGGTGGACGTTTGGCCTGGGCTTGTGAGTTTGACTGCTGATGTAATCTCTCGTACTGCTTTCGGAAGTAGCTACAAAGAAGGGCAGAGGATATTTGAGCTGCAAGCAGAACTAGCTCAGCTCATTATACAAGTTTTTCGGAAAGTTGTCATCCCTGGATATATGTAATAACTAACCTCAACTTTTCTGCTTTAACACAAGACTGACTCTTGATTTAGTGCTGGAACCTATTTAGAGATTATGAACCATGGTTGTGTCATGTTATCCTTGTCTTTTCTCGGATAGGTATCTCCCGACGAAGAATAATAGAAGGATAAAAGCAGCAGCCAGAGAAGTACAAGTTATACTGAGAGGTATCGTTGACAAAAGATTAAGGGCGAGGGAAGCTGGGGAAGCACCATGCAACGATTTGCTTGGTATACTTCTTGAATCGAATAGGATGCAAGCCAAGGGAAATGGAATGAGCATTAAGGAAGTGATGGAGGAGTGCAAGTTGTTCTATTTCGCTGGGCAGGAGACAACTTCAGCACTTCTGGTCTGGACGATGGTTCTGTTAAGCCAACACCAAGACTGGCAAGCTCGGGCACGAGAAGAAGTAAAGCAAGTTTTTGGTGATAAAGAACCTGATGCAGATGGCCTGAACCATCTCAAAGTTGTAAGTACAAACCGAACTATAAACCTTCAGGTGACTTGAGTACGCTCTTGTGTTTTGATCATTTTTGCTAAAATGATTTGATACCACACAGATGACGACGATACTATATGAGGTCCTTAGGCTATATCCTTCAATAACACATGTGACCAGAACCGTTCACAAAGAGACGAAGCTAGGCGACCTGACGCTACCAGCTGGCGTTCACATCAGTCTACCTATTCTCCTAGTCCAACGCGACACCGAGCTGTGGGGCGACGATGCAGCGGAGTTCAAGCCCGAGAGGTTCAGTGAAGGTCTCTCAAAGGCGACCAAGAGCCAAGTCTCCTTCTTTCCCTTCACATGGGGACCAAGAGTCTGCATTGGCCAGAATTTCGCCCTGCTTGAGGCGAAGATGGCGATGTCATTGATTCTACAGAGATTCTCCTTCGAGCTTTCTCCGTCCTATGTTCATGCGCCGTACCCAATCGTCACAATTCAACCACAGTTCGGTGCTCAAATTATCCTCCACAAGCTCTAGTCTTAGTTTGTATTGTGTTTTTGTCAACGAAACTTATATCATACACAGATGAAACGAGTCCACACCATATAATAAAAAAGTCTTAATCTTGTTATGTATTCATTTCAGAAGTAGCGTGTCACTGACTAAAACCCTTCGAGCAAGTGATTCTCACGGAACAATCATCTGTTGTGAAACTATCAAACTAAGACCCATTGTAAAAAGGATCGCCAATTTCGAGTAGACACGAGACGATAAACGTGCACAACCCTTCTGAACCAAACAAACATTCAATACCAATCAAAGATGTGATTTTTCGCTTAAACAGTGCTTGACCATTTCAAAAACAGAGAACCCACAGACAGATCGAGAACGACACACGAGATTCTCTCAAAATGAAGAATTTCCCTTACGGGTCGACACGCTTAACCCCTAACCTCCGCAATCCTAATTTCAGGGGACACATCGTGAGATCAACGGCGAGATTCGCCAAAGGTTCTGGTTACGACGGCGTTGAGTTTAGACCGAACAACGGCGTTTAGGTTTAGCTTCTCGAAATGACGACGTTATTCGTGGGCCCACTTTATATACCCAATAATAATATTTAATCTTCCCCGCCTCTTTCAGTTTATTAGCAGAGACCGTTTGCTGGACATATCATCATTCAGACGTGTAACAAGAGCAGATTTAACTCGATTATTCTTCCCTAAATTATTCGGTGTTTTCACTAAGAAAAACAAAAAATAAAGCTAAAATTAACTTCTCTCAGACTACGTAACCAAAACACTTAAAACTTAAAAAAACATCGAAATTTTATGAAAAAGACAAAGACAAAATCAATAGTCATTAAAAGAAAAACAAAATCATCGACGAGAACGCATGGGCATTTAAGACATTACCACCATCAATTATTGTTATTTCAAGATCTGCAAACTTCTCTGTCTTTCACTCTCTCTGACATAAATGGAGATGTATGTTGTATATTCAGTAACTATCAGTCTTAAGAGGAGTGCCATCAAGCCGGAGAGGTTCAAAGACGGTGTCTCAAAGGCAACAGAGAGCCAAGTGTCCTTCTTTCCCTTTGGCTGGGGACCGAGGATATGCATTGGTCAGAATTTTGCTCTGTTGGAGGCAAAGATGGCGATACCTTTGATTCTGCAGAGACTCTCCTTTGAGCTTTCTCCTTCTTATGTTCATGCGCCTTACACGGTCATCACCCACAGTTCGGTGCGCATCTTATCCTCCACAAGCTCTAACCCAATGCGATGTTTCCCAATGAACTTATCATACACAGAGGAAACGGGACCAGATCATTACACAAAACTCAGTCTTGTTATATATTCATGTCTGTCAGAATTAAACCCTGTCGAATAGCGACTTTCTGTTGTGAAACTTAGACCCAATGTGACAATGTGAGGGACCGAACCAATCAAACACTGCCAATGTTTCTGAATTCCAGTTTTTGCGAGTCAGAATTCGTTGCTCGCAGTCGCAGGCAATTACAACTTTTGAGCAGTGAACAAATCTCTCTTTAGAAAACTAGCTTTAACGTGCAAAACACACTAATGGTAAAAAGTAAGAGTAAATCGCATGGATCTATTGACAAAGAAACGCCTCGCCACTCAAGTTTTGACCCCCAAAAAAATGTAACATTTTTACCCCCAAAAAAAGTTTTGACAAATATGACTCTTTTTGCCTCTTTTTTTTCACACAAGTAGAAATTGTCTTCGTTTAATGGTTAAACAAAATAATTGGCCGACATACAAAATACAAAATATTTAAGACTTAAAACCAACACAAATTATTTTAAGACATCAGCGATCATCATCATCACCACACAAATATCTTCTCCGAAATTCTCAATCATTAATCCCGAGAAAGTTGAGCAGATTATCCATATCTCTCTCTCTTTTCCCTGGGAGAGAAAATGGAGATATCACTTGCATCAGTGACAGTTTCAGTAGCTATAGCTGTTGTGTCGTGGTGGGTATGGAGAACTTTAAAGTGGGCTTGGTTTAAACCAAAGATGCTTGAGAGTTACCTGAGAAGACAAGGTCTTTCCGGTACACCGTACACGCCTCTCGTCGGCGATTTAAATAAGAGTTTCAGCATGTTGAAGGAGGCAAGATCAAAACCCATCAAACTAACGGATGATATCCAACCACGTGTCGTGCCTTATCCCTTGCAAATGCGCAAGACTCACGGTATGTTTCCGGTTTAGCTTGTAGCCCTTGTTCCCTCTCTGTTTAGAGAGCAGCAAAACTGTTGCACAGTACCTGAACATTGACAAAGGTTTCAACTTTTGTATCTCTTTGTGGTTGGAACAGGAAGGACTTTCTTTACATGGTTTGGCCATATACCAACCATCACTATAATGGATCCTGAGCAGATCAAGGAAGTCTTCAACAATGTTTATGATTTCCCAAAGACACATGCATTCCCTTTGTTCAGATTGATAGCCGCTGGACTCGTTAGTTATGATGGCGAAAAATGGGCGAAACACCGAAGAATCATCAATCCGGCTTTCCATCTTGAGAAGATCAAGGTTTTCACTTCTTCTTCTTCACATCCCCGAATTCAGGTTTAGGTTGGTTTGTGTGTCATTTGTTCTTGGCCAAACTTGTGACTTCTGCTTCTGTGATTAGATTATGGTACCTGCTTTCCACCAAAGCTGCTGCGAGGTTGTTGGCGAATGGGACAAGTTAGTGTCGGAGAAAGGATCTTCCTGTGAGGTAGACGTTTGGCCTTGGCTTGTGAGTTTGACGGCAGATGTACACAAGCTCTTCGCAAAACTTTCATCCCTGGATATATGTAATGAAAAACCTCAACTTCCCTGGGTTAATGCAAGACGTGTAGAGATTGACTCTTGACCTTTTAGTGCTGCAACCCATTAGAGGTTATGAACCATATTGTATCATACTTTCCTCGTCTTCTTTTCACATAGGTATCTCCCGACGAAGGATAACAGGAGGATGAAAGCAGCAGCTAGAGAAATCCAAGTTATACTGAGAGGGATCGTTAACAAAAGGTTAAGGGCAAGAGAAGCTGGAGAAGCACCAAGCGACGATTTGCTTGGTATACTTCTTGAATCTAATTTGGAGCAAGCTAAAGGAAAAGGAATAAGCACTGAGGAGGTCATTGAGGAGTGCAAGCTGTTCTATTTAGCCGGGCAAGAGACAACTTCAGTACTTCTGGTCTGGACAATGGTTGTGTTAAGCCAACACCAAGAGTGGCAAGCGCGCGCACGAGAAGAAGTGAAGCAAGTTTTTGGTGATAAAGAACCTGATGCAGATGGCCTGAACCAACTCAAAGTTGTAAGTACAGTAGACCGAATTATAAACCTTCAGGTGACTTCTGTTGTGTTTTGATCATTTTCTCTGAACGATCTGATCCCTTCACAGATGACGATGATACTATATGAGGTCCTTAGGCTATATCCTCCAGTGGCACAGGTGAGCCGAGCCATTCACAAAGAGATGAAGCTAGGCGACCTGACGCTACCAGGCGGCGTTCAGATCAGTCTACCTATTCTTCTAGTCCAACGCGATACCGAGCTGTGGGGCGACGATGCTGCAGAGTTCAAGCCTGAGAGGTTCGAGGAGGGTCTCGTGAAGGCGACAAAGAGCCAAGTCTCCTTCGTTCCCTTCACATGGGGACCAAGGATCTGCATTGGCCAGAATTTCGCCCTGCTTGAGGCAAAGATGGCGATGGCATTGATTCTTCAGAGATTCTCATTCGAGCTTTCTCCGTCCTATGTTCATGCGCCTTACCCAGTCATCACCCTTCACCCACAGTTCGGGGCTCATCTGACCCAATGCGATGTTGCTCAACGAACTTATCACACACAGAGGAAACGGGGCCAGATCATAACACAAAACTCAATCTTGTTATGTATTCAAGGCAGAACACAGATTAAAACCCTATGTGTAGTGTGAATCTCTGTTGCGAAAATAAGTCCCAATACGAGGGATCGAACCAGAAAATAAACGTGACACTGCCACAGTGTTTGTTAATCATCAGCAACTCCTCTCTGCCGAGTCTGCTATAACAGGTCGATTATGCCGTGAGTTCGCCTTGATAATGCTCGACTAGATCTTGTATCTCTCCGAATTTGGAAACAGAGTAGCAGCCATAGAAAAATCGAGAACGACAAACGAGATTCTCCAAATTGATGTCTTCAGAAAACCCCCAAAATGAAGAACCCTAATCTCAATGATCTATTTCTTTTGTTTTAGATATTTTTTTTTTTGGTCAAAATGTTTTTAGATATCAAATCGCGATATTCAGAGGTGAAATACGCTAAGATCCTATACGTCGTCGTTAGTATTAGAAACGACGTCGTTCAGTTCAATTCTACACAACTGTCAACAGTCAACGGTGTCAACCGAAATGTAATTTTCATGTTTTTTTTTGTTCTTTTCCCGCTCGACTGTTGCTTGAGACATCTTTTGAACGTTCATTAACAAGATCAAAGCCATGTCTTAAACTCGATTCTTCCGCCTCCCTAATAACTCTTTGTTTTGAGCAGTGATCAAATTTCTCTTTTTAAACAACTCGCTATAAAAATATAGACATGAAACGAAATTAATTTATATATGTAAGTATGTGTAACGGTAAAAGAAGATTTGTCATCGCATAGAAAGAGAAGTGGGCTAAGCTGGACAAGAAAAAGTGAACTAGAACTCAAATGGAAAGGCCCAAAGGCCCACACCTACTCTCCGAAGCTCTCTACGCTACAAAAGAAATTAATGATGATAAAATATCAATATATCAACTGACAAAAAACATTTAAGAGCTTGATTGACCACATAAAAATACAACATTTCCTTTTTATGTTAACAATATATTTCAACATATGTTAACATTAAAACCAATAAAAAATATTATGGTGAAAGATAAGAGTAAATCGCACAGATGGTAATGGACTATTCACAAAGAAAAGTCCCACCACTCAATTTTGACGAATACATTTCTCTATTTGTCATTTTTGATTTTTCACACAAATCCAATTCAATTGCCTTCGGGTCAAACAATATAATTTGACCGAGTTACAAAAATACACAGGGGAAGTATTAAAAACCAAAATTCATTAAGACATCAGGGTGATGTCATCACCACACCAATATCTTCTCCAAAATTCTCAATCTTTAAATCCCGAGAATGTTAGCAGATTATCCAACTCTCTCTCTCTCTCTCTCTCTCTCTCTCTGGAAGAGAAAATGGAGATATCACTTGCAGCGGTGACAATTTCAATAGCTATAGCTGTTGTGTCGTGGTGGGTATGGAGAACTCTAAAGTGGGTTTGGTTTAAACCAAAGATGATCGAGAGTTACCTGAGAAGACAAGGTCTTTCCGGTACTCCTTACACGCCTCTCGTCGGCGACCTGATGAGGAATTCCAGCATGATGGCGGAGGCAAGATCAAAACCCATCAAACTAACGGATGATATCCGACCACGTGTTGTGCCTTATCCCTTGCAAATGCTCAAGACTCACGGTATGTTTCTTGGTTAGCTTGTAGCCCTTGTTTCCTCTCTGTTTACTTTAGAGATTTAGAGAACAGCAAAACTGTTACAGAGACAGTACCTGAATCTTGACAAAGGTTTCAACTTTTGTATCTCTTTGTGGTTGGAACAGGAAGGACTTTCTTTACATGGTTTGGGCATATACCAACCGTCACTATAATGGATCCTGAGCAGATCAAGGAAGTGTTCAACAAGGTTTATGATTTCCCGAAGACTCATGCATTCCCTTTGGGCAGATTGATAGCCGCTGGACTCGTTAGTTATGATGGCGATAAATGGGCCAAACACCGAAGAATCATCAATCCGGCTTTCCATCTTGAGAAGATCAAGGTTTTCACTTCTTCTTTTTTCACAGCCCTGAAGCAGAGTTTTAGATTGGTTTGTGTATCGTTTGTTCTTGGCCAAACTTGTGAATTCTGCTTCTGTGTATAGATTATGGTACCTGCTTTCCACCAGAGCTGCAGCGAAGTTGTTGGCGAATGGGACAAGTTAGTGTCGGAGAAAGGGTCTTCCTGTGAGGTGGACGTTTGGCCTGGGCTTGTGAGTTTGACTGCTGATGTAATCTCTCGTACTGCTTTCGGAAGTAGCTACAAAGAAGGGCAGAGGATATTTGAGCTGCAAGCAGAACTTGGAGAGCTTATTATCAAAGTCTTTCGGAAAGTTGTCATCCCTGGATATATGTAATACAAGACTGACTCTTGAACCTATTTAGAGATTATCTACCATGTTTGTGTCATGTTCTCCTTGTCTTTTTCTCGCATAGGTATCTCCCGACCAAGGACAATAGAAGGATAAAAGCAGCAGCCAGAGAAGTACAAGTTATACTGAGAGGCATCGTTGACAAAAGGTTAAGGGCGAGGGAAGCTGGGGAAGCACCATGCGACGATTTGCTTGGTATACTTCTTGAATCGAATAGGATGCAAGCCAAGGGAAATGGAATGAGCATTAAGGAAGTGATGGAGGAGTGCAAGTTGTTCTATTTCGCTGGGCAGGAGACAACTACAGTACTTTTGGTCTGGACAATGGTTCTCTTGAGCCAACACCAAGACTGGCAAGCTCGGGCACGAGAAGAAGTGAAGCAAGTTTTTGGTGATAAGGAACCTGATGCAGATGGCCTGAATCATCTCAAAGTTGTAAGTACAAACCGAACTATAAACCTTGAGGTGATTTCAGTACTCTCTTGTGTTTTGATCATTTTTGCTGAATGATCTGATCCCTCACAGATGACGATGATACTGTATGAGGTCCTTAGGCTATATCCCCCAGTAACACAGGTGACCAGAACCATTCACAAAGAGACGAAGCTAGGGGACCTGACGCTACCAGCTGGCGTTCACATCAGTCTACCTATTCTCTTAGTCCAACGCGACACCGAGCTGTGGGGCGACGATGCAGCGGAGTTCAAGCCCGAGAGGTTCAGTGAAGGTCTCTCAAAGGCGACCAAGAGCCAAGTCTCCTTCTTTCCCTTCACATGGGGACCAAGAGTCTGCATTGGCCAGAATTTCGCCCTGCTTGAGGCGAAGATGGCGATGTCATTGATTCTACAGAGATTCTCCTTCGAGCTTTCTCCGTCCTATGTTCATGCGCCTTACCCAATCATCACAATTCACCCAGAGTTTGGTGCTCAAATTATCCTCCACAAGCTCTAGAGTCTTAGTTTGTATTGTGTTTTTGTCAAAAAAAACTTATCATACACAGATGAAACGAGTCTACATCATATAATACAAAAGTCTTAATCTTGTTATGTCTTTAATTCAGAAGTAGCGTGTCAATGATTAAAACCCTTCGAGCAAGTGATTCTCACAGAACAATCCTCTGTTGTGAAACTATCAAAACTAAGACCCAATGTAAAAAGGATCCCCAATTTTGGGTAGACACGAGACTATAAACGTGAAACAGACGTAACCAAACAAATATTCAGTACCAATCAAAAAAATTTGACTTTTCGCCTCAACAGTGCTCGACCATTTCAAAAACAGAGAACCCACAGACAAATCGAGAACGACATACGAGATTCTCTCAAAATGAAGAATTTCCCTTACGGATCGACTCGTTAAACCCCTAACCTCCGAAATCCTAATTTCAGGGGACAAATCGTGAGATCAACGGCGAGATTCGCCAAGGTTCTGTACGACGGCGTTGAGTTTAGACCGAACAACGGCGTTAGGTTTAGCTTCTCGAAATGACGACGTTATTCGTGGGCCCACTATATATACCCAATAATAATATTTTATTTTCCCCGCCTCTTTCAGTTTATTAGCAAACGGTTGACATTACAAACAAAAGCAGATTTAACTTGATTGATCAGACATTACAACAGATTTAACTTGATTGATCAGACATTACAACAGATTTAACTTGATTGATCAGACATTACAAACAAAAGCAGATTTAACTCGCTTATTTTCCCTAATTATTCGGTGTTTTCACTAAGAAAAACAACTAATTAAAGCTAAAACTAATTTCTCCCAGACTATTGCAAGTTTTGAAAAGTTATTTAAAACACTTGAAACTGAGATAAATAAAATAAAAAATTTATGAAAAGACAAATCATGGAGACAAGACAAGGGGTTTGGTATTTTGGCAAAATCAAAAATTATGACGAGAACTTAAGGGCATTTAAGACATTACCACTATCAATTATTGTTATATAAAGATTACTAACGCTTTGAAAATTTTATGTCTCTCACTCTCTCTTGCCTCCGACGTAAATGGAGATGTATGTTGTATATTCAGTAACTATCAGTCTCGTGATGTGGTGGACATGGAAAACTCTGAAGTGGGTTTGGCTAAAACCTAAGATGTTGGAGCTTTACTTGAGAGGACAAGGTCTACCAGGAACTCCTTACACGCCTCTTGTCGGAGATTTCAGGAACTTCAGAGTTTTAATGAAGGCAAGAACCAAACCCATCAATCTAACAGATGATATCATCCCACGTGTCATGCCTGTAACTCTACACATGCTCCAAACTCACGGTATGTGTTTCCTAATTAGCACAGCTTCATCATGCACTTACAACTGCAGCAAGTATCATTTTGCGTTTACAACTGCAGCAAGATTTTTGTAGAAGTGATTTGATGTTTTTTTTGTGTGTGTGAGTGGGACAATAACAGGAAGGACTTTCTTCACATGGCTTGGTCCTACACCAATCATCTCAATAATGGATCCAGAGCAGATCAAACAAGTGTTCAACAGAGTTTACGATTTTCAGAAACCACATACGCTCCCCTTAGCTAGATTGATAGCCACTGGACTGGTTTTCTCTGATGGAGATAAATGGGCCAAACACAGGAGAATCATTAACCCGGCTTTCCACCGTGATAAGATCAAGGTTTCTTCATTGTCCAAAACTCATGCTAGATACTTTATCTTTTAAGCTGACAGATTCATTTTATTTTGTGTGTAGAATATGGTCCCTACGTTTCATAGATGTTGCATCGAGGTTGTGAGCGAATGGGAGAAGCTAGTTTCAGATAAAGGGACTTCGTGTGAGGTTGATGTTTGGCCATGGCTATTGAATCTTTCTGCGGATGTGATCTCTCGTACTGCTTTTGGTAGCAGTTATAAACAAGGGCAGAGGATATTTCAGCTTCAAGCAGAACTAGCACAGCTTATCATATTATCTGTTCAGAAAACTTACATCCCTGGATGGCAGTAAAAACCACGTTTCTCTCTGCTCTTTCACCGGTAAAATATTACGCGAGACATGTTATGTATTCATTGTTCATTTCTATCTTTGTTTGAATAGGTATCTCCCTACAAAGAGTAACAGAAGGATGATAGCAATAGACCGAGAGATCCAAGCTATCCTGAGAAGGATTATTAGTAATCGGGAAACGGCGATAGAAGCTGGAGAAGCACCGAGCGATGATTTGCTGAGTATACTTCTTGAATCAAATTTGGGACAAGCACAAGGAGATGGAATGAGCATTGAGGATGTCATAGAGGAGTGCAAGTTGTTTTATATAGCCGGGCAAGAGACAACTTCTGTACTTTTGGTTTGGACAATGGTTTTGTTAAGCCAACACCAAGACTGGCAGGACCGTGCACGTGAAGAAGTGATGAAAGTGTTTGGCAATAAAGAACCTGACACTGAAGGCATGAACCAACTCAAAGTTGTAAGTGGAACCAAATTACATCATCAAGAACCGTTTTCCTTTATTGTGTGTGTTTTGATGAATTGTCTGAATGTTTCAATCAGGTGACGATGATACTATATGAGGTCCTTAGGCTATATCCTCCAGTGATCCAGCTGAACAGAGCCGTTCACAAAGAGATGAAACTCGGAGATCTGACAGTACCAGGTGGTGTTCAGATCAATCTGCCTGTTCTACTTGTCCAACGTGACACTGAGCTGTGGGGAGACGATGCAGCGGAGTTCAAGCCTGAGAGGTTTCAAGAAGGTCTCTCAAAGGCAACAAAGAGCCAAGTCTCATTCTTCCCCTTTGGATGGGGACCAAGGATCTGCATCGGCCAGAGTTATGCTCTGTTGGAGGCAAAGATGGCGATGGCATTGATTCTACATAGATTCTCCTTCGAGCTCTCTCCTTCCTATGTTCATGCGCCTTACACGGTCATCACCCTTCACCCACAGTTTGGCGCTCACCTTCTCCTCCATCAAGCAAGAGGAGTGCCATTAGATTAATATACTCCAAGGTCCTTCAAGAGGAACCATTGTTTCCGATTATATTTTATTCCGCTTGTCTTGTTTAGATATCCTTATAATAATATACAAGTGTGAACTTCTCGTAACAATTAACTAAAAAAACATACTAGCGTTGGGGAAAGAAAGAAAAAAAGTTAGTGGGCTAGTCCTAACTTAGTACACGAGTATTTTTTGAAAGAAAGAAGAAAAAGAGTACGTACATAGTCACATCACATGCACAGTGCCATTCAATTATTATAATTATAAAAGCAACAATTTGGTAGCGGACAAAGAAATGTCAAAAGGTCAAACGTTCAAGCATTTCCTCCTACGCAAGTTATGGCCATCACACAACTCCAAATTTGCTTCTTTCATCTTTACATATGACTGTATTAAAGTACTATGACATCAGGTGTGATGTCATCACCACCTCCAGTATATATATCCCGAAAATGTAATCACCACATCCATCTCTCTCTCTCTCGAACTCTTCTCTGGGAAATAAAATGGAAACATCAGCTACGTCAGTAACAGTTTCAGTAGCTATAGCTGTTGTACTGTGGTGGATATGGAGAACTCTAAAGTGGGCTTGGTTTAAACCTAAGATGCTTGAGAGTTACCTGAGAAGACAAGGTCTTTCCGGTACTCCTTACACGCCTCTTGCCGGCGATTTCAAGAGGAATTTCAGCATGTCAATGGAGGCAAAGTCCAAACCCATCAATCTTACGGATGACATCGTCCCACGTGTCTTGCCATTCCCATTGCACATGCTCAAGACTTACGGTAATTTTCTTGATTCCTATCTGTTAACAACTTAGAGACACAAAACGCGCCAAAAAATGTTGCAGTGACAAAGGTTTCAAACTTTGGTATCTCTATGTGGTTGGAACAGGAAGGACTTTCTTTACATGGCGTGGACCTATACCAACCATCACCATTATGGATCCTGTGCAAATCAAGGAAGTGTTCAACAAAATTTATGATTTCCAGAAGCCACATACATTCCCTTTCAGCAGACTGATAGTCAGTGGACTCTTTAGTTACGACGGTGAGAAATGGGCAAAACACCGAAAAATCATCAACCCGGCTTTCCACCTTGAGAAGATCAAGGTTTTGGCTTCATATTTCATCATCAAGTTATAGTGCTTTATGTATGTATGTGTATGCTCATTTGGATCTGACTCAATTTGTGTCTTCTGCTTAAATGTATAGAAAATGGTACCTGCTTTCCACCAGAGCTGCAGCGAGGTTGTTGTCAAATGGGACACGTTAGTGTCGGAGAAAGGGTCGTCCTGTGAGGTGGACGTCTGGCCTTGGCTTGTGAGTATGACTGCAGAAGTGATCTCTCGTACTGCTTTTGGCAGCAGCTACAAAGAAGGGCAGAGGATATTTGAGCTCCATGCGGAACTAACACAGCTCGTTGTATTATCTGTTCAGAAGGCTTTCATCCCTGGATATAGGTAAGAAAACCTCAACTTGCCTGGCCTTGTAGCACTGCAATCTATTAGGAGACATGAATCATCTCGTGTCGTATTCTTTGCGTAGATATCTCCCAACGAAAGGTAATACAAGGATGAAAGCAGCAGCCAGAGAAGTTGAAGTTATACTGAGAGGGATCGTAAACAAAAGGGAAAGGGCCAGAGAAGCTAGGGAAGCACCAAGCGACGATTTGCTGGGTATACTTCTTGAATCTAATTTGGGCCAAGCTAAAGGAAACGGACTGAGCACTGAGGATGTCATTGAGGAGTGCAAGCTGTTCTATTTTGCCGGGCAAGAGACAACTTCAGTACTTCTGGTCTGGACGATGGTTCTGTTAAGCCAACACCAAGACTGGCAAGCGCGCGCACGAGAAGAAGTGAAGCAAGTTTTTGGTGATAAAGAACCTGATGCAGAAGGCCTGAACCATCTCAAAGTTGTAAGTGTACACCGTATTCTATAAACCTTCAGCACTCTTGTGGTGTTTTGATGATTATTGCTGAAATGATCTGATCCCTCGCAGATGACGATGATACTGTATGAGGTCCTTAGGCTATATCCACCAGTAGCTCAGCTGAACAGAGCCATTCACAAAGAGATGAAGCTAGGCGACCTGACGCTACCAGGCGGCGTACAGATCAGTGTACCTATTCTTCTAGTCCAACGCGACACCGAGCTGTGGGGCGACGATGCTGCAGAGTTCAAGCCTGAGAGGTTCGAAGACGGTATCTCAAAGGCAACAAATAACCAGGTCTCCTTCTTTCCCTTTGCGTGGGGACCGAGGATCTGCATTGGTCAGAATTTTGCTCTGTTGGAGACAAAGATGGCGATGGCTTTGATTCTGCAGAGGTTCTCCTTTGAGCTTTCTCCTTCTTATGTTCATGCGCCTTATACAGTCTTCACCCTTCACCCACAGTTTGGTGCTCATCTTATCCTGCACAAGCTATAATTCCCTAAACATATGTGATGTTTTCAAACGAAGTTGCTGCTATACATAGGAGAAAATAAGAATTCAGTTACAGAAATGAAGGGAAAGTTAGAGCAGACTCTCAGATTTTTTAGACACAATAGAATATTTGAATTTAATTTTTTTTTTTCCAAGCATATTTTCCTATCATACCCAAGCCGGAGCAGTAGAACTAAATCAAACTCAAAAGCTTCTACAAGATATCTATATTACTAAAAGTTTTACATTCTTGTTCTCGATAACCCGTTACATTTCAGTTCAATCCAGATATATCCCTACTGTAATGTCAAACTTTAAGGCAAGCCACTTGGACTCATAAGTAATCGCAGAAGAAAACAAAAAAAAGGACAAATTCAGGTGAAAGACAAAAGAACAAGAAGCCTCAAAATCGTCGAAAATAGGTACCTTTTGGGCTAAAACAAAGCAATCTAGTCCTTCTGAAATTGTAGTTGACAACTTTCTCCTCAGACATAGTAACAGAAGCAGTCTCTGTCTTAGAAATACCGAGTCCCTTTACGAAATCATTTTTCTGTTTGTGCAGCTCATTGGGATTCCTCCGACATATTCCATCCGACGAACTGATTTGAGACCTATAAAGATGCATGAACTTTCCGTAACAAAAAAAAAAAATTAATCATACTAACGTTGGGGAAAGAAAAAAAAAAAAAGTTAGTGGGCAAGTCCTAACTGGATTCATGTAATTTTAGCAGACGAGTAGTTTTTTGAAAGAAAGAAGAAGAAAAAGTACATTACTCACATGCATAATGACAAAGAAATGTCAAAAGGTTGATGTTTAAGCCTTTTCCCCAACGCATGTTATGGCCAATCTACAAATCCAAATTTGCTTCTTGCACCTTCACATATATCGTCACAATCTTTCTCTCTCTCTCTCTCTCTCTCTCTGGCAGAGAAAATGGAAACATCAACTGCGTCAGTAACAGTTTCAGTAGCTATAGCTGTTGTACTGTGGTGGATATGGAGAGCTCTAAAGTGGGCTTGGTTTAAACCTAAGATGCTTGAGAGTTACCTGAGAAGACAAGGTCTTGCCGGAACTCCTTACACACTTCCTGCAGGCGATTTCAAGAGGAGTTTCCGCATGTCAAAGGAGGCAAGGTCCAAACCCATCAATCTTAAAGATGACATCGTCCCACGTGTCTTGCCTTTTTCCTCGCACATGCTCAAGACTTACGGTATGTTTCTTGATTCCTATCTGTTAACAACTTAGAGAAACAGAAAATGTTGCAGAGTACCTGGTCTAGAAAAAAGGTTGCAAACTTTGGTATCTCTATGTGGTTGGAACAGGAAGGACTTTCTTAACATGGCGCGGACCTATACCAACCATCACCATAATGGATCCTGAGCAAATCAAGGAAGTGTTCAACAAAATTTATGATTTCCAGAAGCCACATACAACCCCTTTGGGAAGATTGGTAGCCACCGGACTCTTTACTTATGATGGTGAGAAATGGGCAAAACACCGAAGAATCATAAACCCGGCTTTCCACCTTGAGAAGATCAAGGTTTTGGCTTTATTTTTCTTAAGTCAAGAATCAGGTTAGCTTGCTTTACGTATGTATGTTCATTTGGATCTAACCCAATTTGTGTCTTCTGCTTATATGTATAGAAAATGGTACCTGTGATCCACCAAAGCTGCAGCGAGGTTGTTGGCAAATGGGACAAGCTAGTCTCGGATAAAGGGTCGTCCTTTGAGGTGGACGTCTGGCCTTGGCTTGTGAGTATGACTGCAGAAGTGATCTCTCGTACAGCTTTTGGCAGCAGCTACAAAGAAGGGCAGAGGATATTTGAGCTCCAAGCGGAACTAGCAAAGCTCATCGTAGTATCGAAGGACTACATCCCTGGATATAGGTAAGAAAACCTCAACTTGCCTGGCTTGACTCTTGATCTTGTTGCACTGCAATCTATTAAGAGACATGAATCATCTCGTGTCATGTTCTTGGCGTAGATATCTCCCAACGAAAGCTAACAGAAGGATGAAAGCAGCAGCTAGAGAAATCCAAGTTATACTGAGAGGCATCGTTAACAAAAGGTTAAGGGCGAGAGAAGCTGGGGAAGCACCATGCGACGATTTGCTGGGTATACTTCTTGAATCGAATTTGGGGCAAGCTAAAGGAAACGGACTGAGCACTGAGGATGTCATTGAGGAGTGCAAGCTGTTCTATTTCGCCGGGCAAGAGACAACTTCAGTACTTCTGGTGTGGACGATGGTTCTGTTAAGCCAACACCAAGACTGGCAAGCTCGGGCACGAGAAGAAGTGAAGCAAGTTTTTGGTGATAAGGAACCTGATGCAGAAGGTCTGAACCATCTCAAAGTTGTAAGTACAGTAGACCGAATTATGAGCCTTGAGGTGACTTGAGTACTCTCTTGTGTTTTGATCACTTTTGCTGAATGATTTAATCCCTCGCAGATGACGATGATACTATATGAGGTCCTTAGGCTATCTCCTCCAGTAACCCAGCTGACCAGAGCCGTTCACAAAGAGATGAAACTAGGAGATTTAACAGTACCAGGTGGTGTTCAGATCAATCTGCCTGTTCTACTTGTCCAACGTGACACTGAGCTGTGGGGAGACGATGCAGCGGAGTTCAAGCCTGAGAGGTTTCAAGAAGGTCTCTCAAAGGCAACAAAGAGCCAAGTCTCATTCTTCCCCTTTGGATGGGGACCAAGGATCTGCATCGGCCAGAGTTATGCTCTGTTGGAGGCAAAGATGGCGATGGCATTGATTCTACATAGATTCTCCTTCGAGCTCTCTCCTTCCTATGTTCATGCGCCTTATTTAGTCTTCACCATTCACCCACAGTTTGGTGCCCATCTTATCCTGCACAAGCTATATAATTCCATAAACCCCATGTGATGTTTTGAAATGAAGTTGCTGCTATACATACACGGAAATGAAGGGAAAATTAGAGCAGATTCCCAGAATTTTATATCACAAGAGAATAAAAAGTATATTTGAATTTACGTTTTTCAAGTATATATTTTTTATCATATCCAAAACCAATGCAGTAAGAGTAGAACTCAAACTCAAAGCTTTTACTCTCCAGAGGACTTCCCTGCATTCATCGAGATATCAATACTACCAAAAGATTTTACATTTCAATTCAATCTAGATATATCCCTGCTGTAATGTGAGACTTAAGACTGCTAAGTAATCCCAGAAGAAAACAAACAAAAAAAAGACAAATTCAGGTGAAAGACAGAAGAACAAGAAGCCTCAGAATCGTCGAAAACAATTACCTTTTGGGCTAAAACAAAGCCATCTGTTCCTTCTGAAATTTTAGTTGGCAACTCCTATTCAGACATAGTAACAGAAGCAGTGTCTGTCTTAGAAACTCCTGAGTCCCTTCACAAAATCATCTTTTCTGTTTGTGCAGCTCATTGCGATACCTCCGATATATTCCATTTTTATTTTTTTCGGGCGGATTTTTCATCGGAAACGGTAGTTCCGACGAGTTGATTTGAGACCTCTAGAAGATGAAGAAGCCGATAAAAAAAAAAAAAATTCAAACAAAAGCCTCTTAATGGGCTTGCTCATTTAAAAGCCTCTAATTCTGATGGGCCTTTAGTGTTTTAGCCAGTTATGGTGTAAACTTAAATTGACCAAGTCAAGTTTACAAAACTGAACGGTTTTCATTATTTAATTGTTTTTTTAAAATATTTTTAATGTTTCCACTCGTGCGGCGCAAGAGTTTTAAGGAAAACAATTCTATATTTCAGCCACCAAAACTGATTGCAGTTTGAAATCGCTGAATGTTGCAGTTGTCGGAGAATCTTATGTGATTGAAGTGAAATTTGGAGATTGCCTTCTCTCATCTTCCGTTCTCGATACATATTCCAAAGGTATTTGAATTTTTTTTTACCTACTCTTCTTGTTATAATTAACCTAGATCTCTCTGTAAGGTATTTAGAAAGAATTCTTAGCGTTTGGATTTGCCGGTATTATCGGGATTTTCACAAGAATGTCTCAGCTCAATATTATTGCTATGAAGAAGAACTCGATGAGGAAGAATAAGAAATTGGTTATAAACATTGCTCTAAAAAAGGAAACTCTTGCTTCAAGACTGGAAGCTGATCAGCAGGATCTTGGTTCTTCAAGAGAGGATGAGAAAAAGAGTCTTGAACCATCAGAGAAGCGAAGAGATGTGTTACAAAGGGATTGTTCCAAAGCTGAAGAGATCGATGGTTCCATTGATGAAGATGAGGCAATTGATGATGATCATATTTCTAGTGCTGGAGATGGAGTGATGCGTGAGGTTGATGTCGGTACAGGGTTATCGGGAGCATTAAACCTTCTCAGGGATCAAGGAGCTTTCAAGGAGAAGAAGAGCAAGCTTGTAGTTGTTAGGGACAATCATGGAGATGACAGATTTAGAGATGCGTTCAAGGAGATTAGGATTGAGAGGATGGATGAGTGTGGCAGGGTATTGACTATGAAAGAAGCGTTTCGGTCACTGTCTCATGGATTCCACGGGAAGAAACCTGGCAATAGAAAGCAAGAGAAACGGGAGAGGAAGCACGAAGATAAGACAAAACAGATGGAATCATCAGATAGAGCTGTGGAAAGAATCAGACAAGTTCATGCTGCGTTGAAGAGTCCTTACATTGTTATCTAATCTAAAACTTCTCTCTTGGTTTTCTTTGCCTGATACATCTCAAAGGCTTTTAGAGAATTGAATATTTTGCCTGTATTGAAGATTTATTTGCATGTACTTACATTTGTTTCACCTCTTTTCACTATGATCTTACTACATTTGTTTTTTCCGGCTCTATCAGGGTAATAAAAACCAATGCATCCCGAGTCAAAACGAGCAGGTTCCACAAAGACTCAGCTCAACGATGGATTCAGCGATTTGCCTGAGAGCATTCTTGTCATAATTCTGAGCCATCTCCCAACTGTGGAAGCTGTTAGGACTTGTGTCTTGTCAAAGTCATGGAGGACCATGTGGACCAACGTCACAGCCTTACAGTTCGATGATAAACGGCATAGGGCACCGAGAGACGATGGCTTTATTCAGTTCGTTGACCTTGTGGTTCGCCACGTTGGAAGTCTGAGAATCAACAGTTTCCATCTATATTCTGTTAATCCATACGACGAGACTCCTATCATCTCGTGGTTATCAAAGGTTATAGAGTGCAATCTTCAGAAACTTGTCATCACTTGGTACGAGCTCGAAAGCGTCAATTTCTCTCCGCTCTTCGCTAGTCTCGGCACTCTCGTGGAGCTGAGACTTCGTACGAAGACCATTCTTGACATCTCTGCTCCAGCTCTTCTCCCGAATGTTAAGTTCTTTACTCTAGAGGACGCTAGAATCTTCAACACGTCATCCCTCTCAGGGAACATCTCTCTGAGCTTTCCCGTCTTGGAGACTTTCGAAGCCACTAGTGTCTGCTGGTTTAGAACCGATACCGTGATCATAGATTCTCCATTGCTCAGGGTCTTTGAGATGCTCAAGTGTAGCTCAGGACACGTACCGAACAGCAATGGAGAGTGTACGATCAGTTTATTAGCTCCGAAGCTTGAGAAGATCACGTTCTCGGGACACGGTTCCGAAAAGATGTTTCTGTCTTTCCCGCCGTCTTTGCCTGATGCTTATCTTTCTCTCACCGGAGAGTGGGCCCATCCACCAGAGTGGCCCAAGAAGTTTCTAGAAAACTTCACATGCGTCAAGAGTTTGGGTCTTGAGGTTGGTTTACAACTTACAAACATTACATCTTCCCCTGAATTTTTGTTCCAAAAGCTTTTGATCATGGCGCATTCACTCACAGCTATTTTATATTTGTGTCCTTTTCTTAGCTTATCAGCGATCATCATGTGATCAAAGTACCCAAGTTTAGACAATTGGTTTACCTGCTTTTGATCTACGACATGACAGAGCCTTACCTACTCAAAAGTTTCCTCAAATCCACACCAATCCTCGAGATGCTAAGCATTTGCGTAAGTCATATATATATATATATATATGAATGTTTTGACACGATCCAAATAGTTTCTCTTGTTTTGATTTTGTCTTTGCGGTGAAACCTCACCAGGACTCGAGGTATCACGGTTTCGAACCTACTTCAGAGAGCTTGGAGGAAATGCGTTCGCAAACAGCAGCGGAATGCGTTAGAAAAAAGCTCAAAGTCCTGCAAATCAGGGGTTTCAAGATCCGAGAGCCGCAGCTATCAGTGTTGAGGCACGTGATTGCAAACGCCGAGGTTCTTGGAGCAGTCATCCTTTCCACGTCCTCCAAACCAATCACAGAGAAAGATAAAGCACTTGTCTTGTCGTATCCCAAAGCATCACCTCATGCCTCTGTCTTCTTCGATTGATCAAAAAGTTGACCTTTTCCCCAACCCCCGAGTTCCTTGTTGGTTACGGCAACTTTCTATCATCTTTGTTTTGTTGATTCTCAGTGGAACTTTGTGATATTAAAACTCTCTGTGAGATTCTCTGTTTTTCATATTAAAAAGAATATGCTTTTGGACAAGTTAAAGACATACACAAGTGGTGATGTGCCCTTAACCACATGCAAACTTCTTGTGCTATTCTCACTGGACCACTACTATATATACGTTTATATAATGATTTTGTTGATATGATGCAGTCTTCTTTTATCAACTTTATATTATACATAATATAATGTTTTCTGCAATCATCTTTTAATAAAAATAATATTGATATTAGACTAAAATCACATAAATTATTTATAGAGCTAGTCTTGTGGTCTAAACGATTGAAAAAGTTGTTTTGGATTTATGCGTAAAAGATACTTCCTTTTGTTTGATGTAATAGGTAACACAAACTTATTAGCATAATTGTGATAGTGATGTGCTTTTACTATTGAACTATAAATAAGGTTCGTTGATTCTTTGTGAAGGCTACCAAACAAAACAAGAACAAAAAAAATGAAAAAATCTGCTTGGCGGAGATATTTCGGCTCTTCTAATAACCACTTCAGAATAAAAGCCAAATAAAACAAAAGTTGTGTTTCATCGCATGGTGATGATTTTAAACAGTACTACTCGATTCTGGTGAATTTTCTCTTCTATTTTGCCGATGAAATTTGTTTTTGACCTGTTAATACTATTAGTTAAGATTTTATAGAGTAACTGGTGCTTGTGTAATAAAGTTATTTCAATAAATGGACTAGCAAAAATACCAGAAAACTGAAAATTAGCTACGGTTTACCTTAAAAATAAAGATGTCAAACGACACAATCTAACTATATCTGAACCCGTACTTAAAGAACTTCAAGAATATTAAATCTGTGTCAGGTCATGGCCAGAAAAGTTTGGATTGACTTATATATGTCATGTTGAAAACTAACCTGACAATCTCAAATTTTTGATGATGTTCTAGTGAGAGCACAAGTTGATATAATAAATTGATAAATAGCTTTTTGACATGGTATTTTAAGCAATTATCAAATGCATGGAAACATTTTGTAATAAGCGAGTTTTTATACAGAGAAACAGGGTAAATCAACCTTATTTTTTTTATGTATCTTAGATACCGACTTTACACGTTTCCAACATAAATTGACAAATAGCTTTTTGACAGATTTTTTTAATAAAAAAAAAGACCACTGAACTTGTATTAAAAAAAGGTCACCAAAACGAAGAAAGTGTGATGGAAAATGAAAGATCAACTTTAGCTTAAATGTTTAAATATTGTCACTTATTTGACACCTTGCCCTACATTGTTATATTAAATTATACTATTTGTGTGGCTTAAGATTTGAGATTTTCATCCGTGATATGTAAATCTGTCTTTTTCATGCTTTAAGCTAATGGACCGACTTTGCATCTCACCCATATGTTAAAATACTTCAAACTATATAATTTTAAGTACAGTGTATATAATAATATACCCAAGTTTTAACATACAAAATCCAATCCTAACAGATAACTCAAGTCTCTTCCATATTTTCCATCAAAGAAATTAGTTACTCAAATATATAGAAGAGTTAGGAACGAACGTCAAAATTTGTATAATTGACCTTAGAATATCAGTTACCTGTTTATACTTCAGAGAGTCAGAGGCAAACAATGAGACTTGCAATCTTATTTTAGTTTTGATCTTAACTTTCTAGCGGCAACAACAGCAATGTCGCTTGCATATGTCATTATCCTTCTTTATTTTTTGACACTTAAGTCTTCTCATTTTATTAATACGTAATCGTAATTGCTAATATTATTATATTTAGACCAACAACTTCCAGAAACTCAAAAAAGTTTGTTTATATCATAATACTAATTAATTTGCGCCATGTGTATATATACACGTGAAACGCTAAAGATGGTTAGGTAAGTTTTACGGCTAAATATAAACTTTCTCGGGTTAATTATGTTCTATTTAATCAAATTTTATTTACAGAAATCATCGATGGAAATGACAGAGATCAAACGAACAACTCAACTATCTGAGAATTAGCCTTTTCAAGAATGTTCGTAAAATTAGCTGGAAATAATATTACCCCAAAAAAAAACAATAAACTTGAGGGTGCAACATATGAATATTCACATAGTAATTAAAAATTGTATTTCACGATTTTTAAAAAGAGTGGCTGAAATTTTTATTTATGGATAATTTGAGGGTGCAACATAGAAATATTTAAATAGTAAACTGGTCCATCGGTAGTTGCCTCACAACGGGTCAATCTCAAAAAGGGTCACCGACAGTAGACCTAACGAAACTAATAAGGCTCAGAGTTGTAAAGAATTACGATACTACCATTGCCATTCCCCGTGACCTGTGTGTCTCACGTACGCAATAAGTACCACGAAAATTGCTATATATTTTTGAGGATACAACAAAATTAGGAATACACGGAAATTAAAAAAAAAAAGAAATCACATCGGTATATATAAACATTTGTGATCTACAGATTTTCTATCATCTTTTTCTCCGATCGCTGGATCTCGAGTATCTAGATTTTCTCTCATCTCTCTCTCTCTCTCTCTCTCGCTTTTGCGAAGAAGTCTGATCTCGGTGGAGTGCATTTGTACTTCTTTTAAGAATCTAGGGTTTCTCAAAATTTTCGATCGGGTTTTGGTTTCTGGGATTTTCAATCCTGGTTTTGTGATTCGAAGAATTGCCATTTTCTTTGATCACTATAATTTTTTTATTGCGATCTCTTCCGAGATCAAATTGAGGGGTTTTTTAAGTTGCTGAGATTTGGATTTTGGAACTGAGGAAGACGATAGGGTTGTTGAGCGGTATTTGTTCTCCGGTTTGGTCGAACTTGCTCACCTTTTCTACTTATTGGTTGCTGAGAAAAATCATACCTTTTCTTTTCTCTCCCTTTGTGTTTGTCTGATATCTGAATCATCCGGGAAAGCTCGAGTTTTAATTTTCTTTGAAGAGGATGCAACAAGGTCAAGGGAACAAGGTTGGTCTCTCGCTCAATTTCTTAATTTGTGGGAAAAAGCTCTCTTTCTGCAAAATGTTACTGAATCTAAATACCTTAATGAGTGTGATTCATCTTGAGATCTTCGCTTCAGCATCACAGAACTGATGATTTCTTCTTTGCGTAATTTTGCTGGATTTTGATTAATTTTGTGCTGTTTCTTTACTTTGGTGATCGAACAGAACATGAAGGAGATGGAGTTTTTCACCGAGTATGGTGATGCAAACCGTTACCAGATTCTTGAAGTCATTGGGAAAGGAAGCTACGGAGTTGTTTGTGCAGCTATTGATACACACACTGGAGAGAAAGTCGCCATAAAGAAGATCAATGATGTATTTGAACACATCTCTGATGCTCTCCGTATCCTCCGTGAGGTCAAGCTTCTCCGGCTCCTAAGACATCCTGATATAGTCGAAATCAAAAGCATCATGCTTCCACCTTCCAAGAGGGAGTTCAAGGACATTTTTGTTGTGTTTGAGCTCATGGAATCAGACTTGCATCAAGTCATCAAAGCCAACGATGACTTGACACGGGAGCACCATCAGTTTTTCCTTTATCAGATGCTTCGTGCCTTGAAGTATATGCATACAGGTGGATTTTTTTTTATTTCTATTTCCCCTCTCAAATTTGGCTATAACTCGTAAACTCATAATTAACTGGATTTCTTCTGGGGTGCAGCTAATGTTTACCATCGTGATCTTAAACCGAAGAACATACTGGCAAACGCAAACTGCAAGTTGAAAGTCTGCGACTTTGGACTAGCACGAGTGTCGTTCAATGATACGCCTACAACAGTCTTTTGGACGGTCTGTATCCTTGTCGCCACCTCCCTGTTAATTGTTTATTTCAGCTTTGGTAATCTATCCAGTGTGTTTGAATCTCCTTGTCTGTCTTTCTTGTTCCAGGATTATGTTGCTACAAGGTGGTACAGGGCACCTGAGCTCTGTGGATCATTCTGTTCTAAGGTACTGGTTATTCTTCTTCTTCCTCCTTGTATGCTCTTTGTCTTTTTCTCTGTGGTTGTAAATGTTAGATGTTTGGTGTAGAACAGTGTTACAGATATGACTGGTACTATATAACTCTCTCGAAAGTTTAAAAACCTCAATCAGCACTTGTGTTTGGTAATACTCGTTTGAGTTGTTTCTTTTCGCAGCTTATATGCTCAGTAGTCTGACTTGCAGTTTTTATCTTTTGCAGTATACTCCAGCTATTGACATTTGGAGCATTGGGTGCATCTTTGCGGAGGTATTACTAGGGAAGCCTTTGTTTCCTGGAAAAAGTGTCGTCCATCAGTTAGAGTTGATCACCGATCTTCTTGGCACACCAAAATCAGAGACCATTGCTGGGGTATGATCTTTTTGCTTCCGCATTACCAAGTTTCCATTTTGGTTTCTGGGAGGATACATGCTTAACTTGATAATATATCTCAAATGCAGGTTCGAAATGAAAAGGCTAGAAAATACTTGGGCGAAATGAGGAAGAAAAATCTTGTCCCGTTTTCGCAAAAGTTTCCTAACGCAGATCCTTTAGCATTGCGCCTTTTGCAAAGACTGCTGGCTTTTGATCCAAAGGATAGGCCGACTGCTGCAGAGGTGCTTTTTCTTTCACTTCTCTTGTTTATAGATTCATTCCTTAGTATTTCAGCTCCTTACACTGTGATGTTATTCACTTATTTGGCAGGCGCTGGCTGATCCTTACTTTAAGAAACTTGCTAAGGTTGAAAGAGAACCTTCTTGCCAGCCAATCTCGAAGATGGAGTTTGAGTTTGAAAGACGAAGGTTAACGAAGGATGACATTAGAGAGCTAATATACAGGGAGATACTAGAATACCATCCACAGCTGCTCAAGGATTATATGAACGGATCTGAAGGCTCAAGTTTCTTATATCCTAGGTTTTTACCTCCTCTTTTGAACCATAGT